GGAGTCTCTAGAAGGAACACAGCTCTCCCAACAAGTTAACTTTCAACTTCTGACCTCCATCACTGCTTGAGTACATTCATGTTATTCTAAAACATTAAGATGGTGCTATTTGTTATAGCAACCATAAGAAACTAATACAATGGGGATTGACTAAACATAACTAACTACAATTTGTTTGAATTCTGAGAGACTTTTAATACTGATTTTGACCTGAATTAGTTTTTTTTATAGTTGAATATGGACAGTATGCCTTTATTTAATGTATTTTTTAATGTGGTGCTGAGGATCAAACCCAGTGCCTCACACATGCTAGGCAAGTGCTCTGCCACTGAGCTACAGCCCCAGCCCCCAAATTAGTCTTTATTATTATATGTGTGATTTAGGTAAGTAGGTAGGAAGATATAAGTGATATAATAGGATATCCCACCAAGTAACATTTAACAGTATTCTTGGTTGATTCTCTGAGGCCCTTGCCAGGCCCCCTGCCCAGGGAGGGCAGTGCATAGAGCATGCCCTGCAGAGAGACTGTCTTCACCTCCACAGTTTTACTCTTTCTACTTTTGATTCTATGGTGAACCAGAGGCTTCTGGGAAGCAGCAGTTAGGATTGTGACTCTGAAACATAACCTTAAAGTCATGGTAGTCCCAGAAAGATGTGAAATAGACTGCTTTCTTTTAGAGACATAAATCATATTAAATTCAATTGCTACTTTGAAAAGTTTTGGATTCTGCCATCTTACATGTCTTCATTTTATTAAAGTGCACTATTCTATTAAATGCTTTTCAAGAAAATTTTAATTTTATAGTATATTTGAATTTTTTAACTAAAGAAAAAATTTGCTTTTTAGTATTTGAGGTCTGGTGGAAATACTGTATATGTGGGGAGAATATTGGTAGTAAGCACTGAAATCTACGGTTCTTTTTTTCATGGAAACAGGCAACAGAATTTAAATTTATGTTATATATTTTAAGGCAGTGAAAAAAAATCCAACATTCGGGTGTAGAAAGGGGTGAGATTAATGTGGGAAATGACATTGTGATGAAGCTATGATCCCTTCGTGCAGAAGCAAATTTTGTGAGTATGGAATTAAACTGACCTCATCTTAAGCTTGAGGCTCAAGAATGATGGAAGTAAGACCTGATAGCTCTTGAGCTCAGCCCATCCCACCCCATCTCAATCAGAAATCCATTAACTTCTGTGGATATTATGGGCCACGGGAGCAAGGAAATTGCATTATTTATCTAATTTGAGTTGGATGTGGGAGAGGGAGATGGGAGGTCAGAGACTTGGGTCCTGGTGGATGTGTTCAACCACCTGAGTTCCGTGCCAAGAGCTGAACCCTTTACTGGTCCTTGTGCAGAAGGAAACTAGGACACCTAGGCCTCTCACCTGCTTGGGTAGGGTTCTCAAATGTACAGGTCAAAGGTTGGGAATGTGGCTCAGTGGTAGAGTGCTTTTCTGGCATGCATGAGGCCTTGGGTTTGATTCCCAGCACCCCAGAAAGTTAAAAAGAAAAAAAAAATATGGGTTCAAATGTGTAGGTCCTTTTTTAAAAAATTAGGACAAATTTAAAGCATATACAAACTCAGGATAACTCTGTAATGGACCCCACAGTCCCATTGCCCAGATCTTGGTATTATCTAAATTTTGTCACTCTTGCTTTACCTGTTTTCTCTTTTCCCTATTTTATCTGCAGTGTTTGATAGTAAATCTTTCACATCACTGCACTTCATCCCTTATTCTTTAGTAGGCATTCCTAAAAAAATACAGTGGCCAGGCTTTGACTCTTTCTGTTTCCCACTCTCTTCTCAAATACTGCTTAGGTACATGTGAGCTGGGAAAGAGAAAGATTGACTGAATTGAGTGCAGTGTTGCAGCTCAGTGTACTACAGGGAAGGGATGATATTTTTTTTTCTTTTCTGTAACAATGCTATTACGTTTTTGTTAACTTATCATATAAGAAATGTATTAACAAACTGTAGACAGGTCACTTAGTGTTTATGTTTTTTTTTCCTCATCAATATGTTGTAATGAAATTAACTCATTCTTAATTTATAGAGATAATGGAAGGATCAATGAGCATGGCCTTTTTGTCCTAAGTTAGTGGTCCAGTATTCCTGCAGAAAAGGAGAAAGGCATTCTCTTGGCAGAGATGTTCTCCTATTGTCCAGAGTTCCTCTTCCTTTTCTGTCATTAACTGATTTCTCAGAAAAATTGTGTTATGTACTTACACAAATTTTCCATCAGAAAATATTTTTGAATATTTGACTCTTTTGTAGAACCTGTCACAAGTGAGCAAGGAGTTCATTTTCTCAATGATTTATGCCAACTTATATAAGTAACACTTGATTTGTAATTTGATTTTTGAAGTAAATGTTATGTTCAGCAAATACATAGCTTTGATAGGCAAGAACATTGGTATACTGTCCTTATATTCCTGACAACTGCCTCCCTCATTAGTTTGAGTCCCTAGACAGGCATTTTGAAGTTTGGATCCTCCTAGTTGACATGCACAGTTGCCCCCTGAGGTCAATAAGTTGTCATTCAGCCAAAGTTGCTGAACAGTGAAAAGGATGGGCAGCCCAAAACCAAAGCATAGGGTGACTTTTAACAGTCATAGTTGACTCTCAGTGGAAGGTGGGTATGTGTGTTTATGTACAAATCTAAACATTCTATGTAGTCATTTCAGAAGACTTTTAGATCTTGTAAAAGGAATGGGAAAAACATTAGTCCAGCTACCAGACCATGCCATTAAGGATCCTGTTTGCCTAGCATTCTGTCTGCATAGTAGAATTTCTTTGTAAGTTTCAGCTCAGATTAATAATGAAGTCCTTGTATGTATGTGAATTACTGGATGACTTCAGTTTTATCATTAGTCTATTACATGAGTTATTTTGTCTCATCTTAGTCATTGCAAAATTTGCATTCCAGGGCTTCATGGAACTATCACTTTCTTTCTTCTTGAGCACTCAGTGCAGATTCCACAGAGTTTGCATCTATAAAATGAACATGTATGGTATTACAACAGCGTGATAAAGTCTCTTTTTAGTAAAAAAAAAATTGTTTTTCTATTCATTTAAATTATACTATCTGTTGAAAGTATCTGTGGTGCTTTCTTTGGTTATGGTGCCAGAAATGCATTTGTTGTGACATTATACTTCCGTTGTATATACAGTGTAGTTAAACACTTACATTACCCTTTATGGTTGATAAACAGGAGTGTGCATCAGAATCCCCTGAGTAACTTTGCCAAAATACATCCAACATTATCCTCACCTCCCCCAAAACCAAGATTTGGGTTTTGCAAGTCCAGTTTGGAGCTTTGTTGGGAGTGTTTTGATTTGGGTGTGCTTGTGCAGTTGCAGATCTGTGCTCTTGGGTGGGAGAGGTTCCCGGCTAACTCTTTGAAGTATGGGAGTATCTCTGCTCCCCAAATAGTCACTTAAGATGCATGATTACATTGCAGCTTGGCACATTTAAGTTGTCAAAGTGAATTATTTCACTCCATAAAAAAAAAGAATGAGAAAAAAGCAACATACATAATTAAAGAGTTGGCTATAGATTTTATAAGGAAAGATGGGAGAGGTAGATTAAGACTGAGCGGTTGGCAACTTAAGGAATAGCAAAGTTAGTATGAAAAAGACTCATACTTTTTATAATAAAAGTCAAATTAGAACCCTAAATTTTAATAAACATAGGTAATACAAATTGCTAGAGCACAATTATATTTCCTGTTTATCCTACTTTCCCATAAAGGCTTCTTACTACATACGAATTTTTACTTCAGTGAGGGCAGTTCAGGACTTTTTACTAAAGACTCAGGGAGTCCTGCAGTGGGGTAGAAGTGATTGGTTTGTTAGAAAGAACTTTAGGTTAGAAATAAGAATCTCCTGATAGAAAAACTTGTTGGGCATTTAAAATAACCAGAGAAAGTTATAGAATTTCCTTCATTGCACAACCAAAAAATCTGAGTTAAAACAAACAGCCCCCTATCTTGAAGAGTTTAGGCACCATGCCTACAAGAAATGGCACACTGAATTCTTTCAAGAGCTGTACAGGGACTCTGAAACTTTCCAGTTAGGGAGAGTCATTTGTGTTTCCTAATTTGTTGGTTGATATTCTTCTAATATCTTTTAAGAAGGAAGTCAGGAGGTCATTATCATTATCCCTCTGTTTGCAGTTTCCTGGTCACTAACTGTTTTTTTGGCAAATTGTCTCCGTTTTTTACTTTAGCTCATTATGCTTTCATCTTGGATCACAACTTTATATAAGAAGTATATATATGAAAGAAGAAATGTGTAAATGTATGTGCAGTTTCTGTCACGGCCAAGAAAAATTGTGATGCTAATACTGGCTAAGCTTTGACCCAGCTTTCATACTGTGCTAACTGCTTTACCTGGCTTATAAATTAACACTCTTCACAGTGCTGTGAATTATTGCTCTGTCCCCCCTTAGCAGAGGAGAGACTGAGGCTCAGAGAGCCTAGGAAATGTGTCCACAATCGCGTAGGTACCAAAGGATGAGGGTGGGATTTGGTCTAGGTCAGTTTGACTCTAGAGTTAGGCACTGAATCACTCTGCTTTTGTTATTAGACTGATAATTCTCTCAAATTGACTTCTCTTTAGAAACATTTTATTTTTTGAATTCTGACATTGCTGTGAGTAGCAATAAATTATCATTTGACACTGGGTCTTGAACTTGGCTACACTTTGGAATCATCTGTAGATTAAAAAAAAAAAAACAACAGTATTTGTGGCTGAGTTCTCAGATGTTCTGAGTACATGGTATGTGGAGCCTGGACATTAGAATTAGGAAACTGAGTTGGATGTCCCTTCTTTGTACCTTAGTCTTATATGGCAGTTTTCCAGACAAGTAAATTCTTGGTCTGCTTCTTGTCTCCCTTATAGATTCTTTTTTTTTTAAAGACAGAGAGAGAGAGAATTTTTTAAATATTTATTTCTTAGTTTTCGCCGGACACAACATCTTTGTTTGTATGTGGTGCTGAGGATAGAACCCAGGCCGCACGCATGCCAGGCGAGTGCACTACCTCTTGAGCCATATCCCCAGCCCCCTTAGATTCTTAAGGCAAAGCCAGTATGGTTTTCCTGTAGCTCTGGCATTCAGCAGATGCTTAGTAAAGGCTGGGATGCATGAACAGATTTCAGGTGCAATTAACAAAGATCCAAAGCTGAATGGTTGGTGACCCTTATTTGTCTGAATAATGCTTATTCCAGGAAATGAGGGGTGTGTGTGTGCATTCACATGCACACACATAGTTTGAAAAAAAAATTAACTACTGAAGTAAGTTCAGAGGTGCCTGAAAAAAATTATTTGTTGGCATGATAGAAAAAGAAGGTAAGAGGAGGGTTTAGATATGGACAGGGACTAGGGAGTTTACCATCGGTAAGCTTCAGATCCTTCAAGAAAGGTAACAAATCCTCTGGTTTCAGAAACTTCCTGGACTTGGCCTCCAAAAGGTTCCATTTTCCCTGGGGAATCAGCCTCCCCTCCCCCAATATTGGTGTAGAAACTCATCTGAGCTTTTCATCTTTCCACCCCACTCATGTCATAATAATAAAGAGGCAGATTTTTTTCAGATATATTTTCGGATATATTCTCAGAGTAAGGACCAAGGAATCTTCAGAATTTGCTCTTCCCCAAATTGTTTCCTAATAAGAATTTGAATGAGAGACTGCTGTAGTGTAATGGAGTTCAGTTGTTTATGGCCAGAGTTCAGTTGAGTATGTCTGTCAGTCAGCAACTGTGAATGTCAGATTCTTTCCTACAAAGGTCATGAGGAGGGGACTCAGCACCAAAGTCCTACTCAGGGATGGCTTAGGAGGGAAAAGGCCAATTTGGGAAATTGCATAAGTTTCTCTAGATGAGCGAGGCTTGTGTTCAGATAGCCAGAGGTGTTTTGGACACTGTACTTACAAAGCCAGGCATCTTTGCATTGACTTATGAAGGATTTTTTTCTTACAGACTTAACAATCAGTAAAATATTAATCGTGACTAATCATAAGGTTCAAACATCAAAATAACTTCCATTTCTTTTAGCCTCTGATAAATTTAACTTTTGATTAAAAATATGCTAGTGATCTTTACTTTCTCACTATTGTTAATTTTAAAACAAGTTTTTATTAGGAGAAATTGCTAATGTATGCATTTAACTTCATTAGTGGATAAGGTACATGTGTAACTATGTTATATTGTTTTTCTGTAATTTAGAATTGAGGCTTTTGTATGATTCCGAAAACCCCAAGAAATATTAGATGCTATTCTCTATCCTTCATTCTCCCATTTTTGTTGCATTCATGATGACTTTTAAACACTTTTAATGTAAAGGCATTAAAGATAGATAAAATCGACCATCATCAGTCTCTTTACTGAGAATTCAACAAAGAACAAAATCAAAGTATGAAATAGCAAGCTTATTTTTATTCGTATGAATAATACTTGTCTCGGTAAAATCATAATGAAAGAGGAATCTTTATAGATAAATCAAATAGAAAAGAATAAATAGATGCTCAACATAATATTTATTTGGGTAACATCAGCAAGTCAGTGAAACTGAGATTTCTGGAATGTGCTGGCCTTTGGAGCCAAGAGTATATTATGATTTAATGGTACCTCTCTGCTGCATTTGATGAGCTGTCCTAGAAAAACATTTTGAAGCAATAACACATCCATTTGGCTCCTAAGTAATGAGGGAGGCATTGCTCTTTGCATTAACTATTTATTCAGGAAGAGAAGTGACCAACTGCTAATAAGTTTTATCCAAAGAGGGTCATTTAAAACAGAAGAAAATGCAAAAGTGAGGCTCTCTTCGATTTCATATGCAATTAACAAAAACCCAGAGCTGAGTGGTTGATGCCCTTGTGCCATGTGACTTGGATGGCTGTATTTAAATATGAGTGCCTGTCAGATCTAGTAAAGACTCTGTGGCTTATGGAAGCAGAGTGTAGCTTAAGCCAGTGACACAGGAGAAGACAGTGACTGGTGAGTGGCTAAGATTGGGTTGATCTCTCTATTGTTTGGAATCACAGGCTTGTTTTCTAAAATCAGTAATAATGATTTAGGTTCACTAGTGTCCTCCTTGTGGGAAGTATTCCTTTTTTTTTTCTTTTCAGATAATGTTTTTTTTATTACTTGTGGAGTCTGTTCTATAATACAGTATTGCTTTTAGATTTAATACTCAATCAAAAGATTTATACCTGGAGAATTTCATATTTGCTATGCAAATAAATCTGTAATATATTATTCAGAAATAGTTTCCAGTGTTTTGCTTCTTCTGCAAGTACATAAGTGGTCCCTTCTTTGCAATAAATGCTTAGGATTTAGTAGCTTTAAGATTGCAACCATAATGTTGTATTCATGTGCAAATAGGGTTTTTCCCCCAATCATTTCAGAATCTTCCTTTGAAGCATTTTGATGATGTAACAGCTTGAAGTTTTCATTCTACTTGAATCAGATTCTCAGCCAATTAATATTGCCTTTTATTTTTAGTGACATAAAAGATGATGAAAGTCACTTATTTTTTTCCCTCAAGACAACTAATGGATTTTTATACCAATTCTTCCTTTCTGCTCTGACAAAAAAGTAATACAGTGGATTTCTACACAATGGGCAGGAAAAATATCTCATATAAATGATATCCAAACAGGCTGTAGAAATGATATATAAACTCTGTTAAATGTTAACAAAAATTTTTTGGATACCATAGTGAATCAATGATGAAATCATTTAATATTACATTTTTTCAATTTTTAATTTAAAAAATATTTTCCATATTGAAAAACATCTATCTATTAGTTCTAAACTTACTCTGAATTACTTTGGAGTATATTTAAAGTCAGTTTTTAAGATATAGTCTGTGAAATAAGAAATAAGAATTCATTGCTTATTTTATAGCCTTTAGAAAAGTGCTAAAAAAGTCTGATAAGTATGTAACAGCAGGATCAAAGACAAGAAAAGATTGCTGAGAATTGTCTTGTCCTGGGGCACATTGTGTCATACACAGGGAACAAAACTCATCTGTGTTACAGGGATTTATTTTCTTTATCATGGAAATAAAGACTGAGTTTAGAAATGGAATTGCCTCTTAAGATTTGGGTTTTGCAATAATCCCTCTTGTTGATTATTATCAATCATTAGATTGAATTATCCCTTTCAGATAATTACTCCATTCAGAAGGCTAATGCTATGTGCCGAGAACAGAAAAGAGATGGAGGATTGGATCAGTTCACTGAAGTCTGTACAAACCAGAGAGTCTTATGAGGTAAAATAGCACATCCCTGATATTTTGTGTTTTTAGAGCATGAATGTTAACTAAAGAGCTAAAGCTATGCTGTGCAACTTGTTTAAGCCAGATTTTTTTTTAACTTAAAGCAATGTGCTTTAGTGTTAAAAGTGACAGATTTGAAATTTTGATCAGAACTACAGTATGTACATTTCCAAGTAGTCCAGTGTCTGCAGTCTTGTTCTCTTATTTGGCAAATCTGTTCAAATGTCTCATTTCTAGGTGGCCCAGTTTAACGTGGAACATTTCTCAGGGATGCATAACTGGTACGCCTGCTCCCATGCCCGCCCCACCTTCTGTAACGTATGCAGAGAAAGTCTTTCTGGAGTTACCTCCCATGGCCTGTCCTGTGAAGGTACTGTAGCATTGAGCCCAGTCCTCTCCCAATTGTAAAGGTACAGTAGACACACCACACTGGGAAAGCTGTAGCTGGGGAGATCTAAGCTGGAATACAGTGTTTAAGGTTGGTTGTAGTTTAATCTTGAGCATTGTACTCATAGTACTAATTTGGGAAATATTCTTGCTCTGGAAAAGATAACATAATAATGTCTGAAAGGAAACATAAATCAAAATATAGCATTTCACTCTTAAGGATATAGGAACTAGAATCTAAAAACATAGCTTTGTATAACATTCTAGTGTTCTTAATTCTGATTATGAAACAAAACGTTTTGTCAGGACAATATATATTCTTTGACAGAATTCCTGATTGTTAGTAGTATTGCCTTACTTGAAACTTTTTTAAAAATTTGTAGTAATAGGGATTGAACCCAGGGTTTCATGCATTGTTAAGCAAGTGCTGTACCATGAAACATTTTTAAAGTAATTTATTAGGAATTAATTTTTATTAGTTAATTAATTTTTCAGTTAACTTATTGATTAATGTTTGCGGTGCTGGGGATTGAACCCAGGGCCACATGCATGCTAGGTGAGCATTCTACCTCTGAGTTACATCAGTTACCCCGATGTCATTTTTTTTTAAAATTTAATTGATTTTATTTTTTAAATACACGACAGTGGGATGCATTACAATTCTTATTACACATATAAAGCACAATTTTTCATATCTTTGTATATAAAGTGTGTTCACACCAATACATGTCTTTATACATGTAGTTTGTGTCATCTTTTTAAACTTCTTTAAAGTTTTCTAAAAATAAGGACTATGCCACTGTTTTCATTACAGGATTAGTGAGGTTCTCTTTTTGGTATTGTTGTTTGCAGAGCCAGGGGATTGAACCAGGGCTTCGCACATGCTAGGCAAGTGCAGTATGTGAAGTATTTTTAATTTAAGTACAGCAATTACCAGAAACAAGTATTTTAGTCATTACCAAGAGAGAACTGATAACATCTTTAGACTGATTTAATTTCATAATTCAGTGATGAGGTATGAAAAGTGTTATACTGCTTTTTGAAATATATCTAATGCCAATACCAGTGTTTTTCTCTGATAAGACACTATCACAGATAATTTTGAATATAGCTAATTATGATTAAATAATAAAATAATGACAGAGCCACAGTTTTAATTGATGTTAAATTTATGATTAACAATAAATAAATAAGATCAATAACTCTTGGGCTGGGTGGTGGCTCAGCGGTAGAGTGCTTGCCTAGCACGTGCGAGGCCCTGGGTTTGATCCTCAGCCCCACATATAAAATAATTAAAATAAAGATATTGTGTCCAACTACAACTAAAATAAATAAATATTAAAAAATATCAATAACTCTTGTTTCAGCCATTTACTACGATGCATAGCAATACACACATAATGGTAAGGAATAGAGCTCAGCCATTAAACCCCCTCCCACAGCCACCATTACAAACTGTTACCAGAAGTAGTTTAACACAGTTAGATTGTTCTCATCTGTCAAATGGGGATAATAGTCATTTATACCTCAGCACTGTGAAGATTAAATGAGGGAATACATGCAAACTGCTTTTCTGATTAAATACATCATAGGAAATTGTCACTGTGCTCTATAATGAATTGATCCAGTAAGTAGTTCCAGATTGGATCAGAGGACTGACACATTCAAGTTCATGAAGGTAAAAATTTGGAGAAGCCATTAAACTTTATTCTTTAGATTTAAAGAATTTCAGACAAAGATATAATAGGCCTTTCTGTCTTTACTAATACAGAAGGGTTTATGTGGGTCTGAGTAACTCATACTAGGTCTGTAATATTATGTGGTGCTGTTCTGAAGATCCTTTAACTGTTACCTGAAAGTTTCTATTCCCCAAATGGCTTAAAAACGATAACCAGGTTTAAGATACTCTGTGATACCCCATATTGATTATTTAGTAATTGAGTCAATAATGGAATGATTGAACATTTTTCTAAGCATTTTAAAAGAAAATGAAAATTACTTCAGTTGGTGAGAATAAGAAACTTTAAAGTCTTTAAATACATTTGTTATATCCTTCTATAAAAGACACACTCTTTCTACCCTTTAAAAAAAAAAGTCTTCCATGCTTATATAATTATGTCAAAATGGATTCTACTGTCAGCTATAACTAAAGAGAACCAGCAAAAAAAGTCTCAATTATTGGATTAAAAATTTCTTCAAAAGATTATGCATTAATATTCGTTTTCTCTGCTGGTAAAAATTTAAATCTGCAGTATTTTGTCTATTCATATTTTTAGAATCGTAGGAGAAGCTTTCAAAATCCCAGATGTTTTATTCTATGAGAATATGGCCATCCTGGATATTTTAGCATATTCAAAGTTAAACTTTTGAGACCCCCTCCTCCCATTAAATGTGAATATACTACTTACATATTAAACCTAAAAACATAGGGATAAACAGGCTTTACAGGTTATAATGGAGATGCAAATACAATAAAAATTCGTTTAATAGTGAAGATTAACAACTTTGTATTAGAGTGAAATTCAGCTTTTGGTGTATGAAGCCATCAATAAATTCACTTGACCTTTAGGTTCTTGTTTTTCATCATAAAATGAGACTACTGATTTGTCTTCTAGACTTGTATTGAATTATAAGTAAACTTATTGTTTGAAAGTCTTGCACATGTAAAATACTATATGAATGAAAAATGGAAGACAGCAAATAATTTTCATTAAAAAATCTTAAGTTATTTGAAAGTGTAAATTATCATTTTAGAATATAATTGTCCTTCATAGTTACTTCAATAGTAACTTGGCCAAAAATATTAAACAGTCATTTTCTTTTCAGTCAACAGTATCAAATATGTCAACATGGCTACTTATGAAATTTCATCTTAACTATTGTTTACCACAAAGATTCAGTGTGATAAAGATGAAATATTACGGTAAAAATAATTTTGCCACCTGACAGTATATTTATTAAGTTCTGTGGTTTTAAAGAATGGCTTTATAGGTCAGGGGAAAGTGCTTTATTCTAGAATAATTTGGAGAAATGTAATTGTCACCTAACAAAGTTAAGGTGCCCATTAATTATTTCCATTTCTTAGTGACCATAACAACAGTCTGGTTTGTTTATTACTATTGTTCTATGTTATATTAAGCAACTTTGTCATTCTCAAGGCTCAGTGTATGAAACAGTTATTATAAAAAGTGTGATTTTTATTGTTTTTTAATTGTAGATGGACACAATTTTATTTTTATGTAGTGCTGAGGATTGAACCCAGTGCCTCACATGTGTAAGGCAGGCATTGATTTTTATTTTTAATGAACTGCTTGATTTTTCTTAGAGAGAGAGAGAGAGAGAGAGAGAGAGAGAGAATTTTTTTAATATTTATTTTTTAGTTTTCAGTGGACACCACATCTTTATTTTATTTTTATGTGGTGCTGAGGATCAAACCCAGTGCCCCGCGCATGCCAGGCGAGCGCACTACCACTTGAGCCACATCCTCAGCCCCACTGCTTGATTTTTAATGGCAAAAATTTTAAAAAGCCATGAAGTTGTGCCATTACTCTCTTTTATGTTCTTCTTTTCCCTGCTTGAAAAGCAAGCATTGACTATTAATATCAAGTGCTGTTTTTTGCTTATAAAGCACCCTGAGGACTCTGGTATAGACCATTTTAGGACCTCACTTTATTTTGTTTTATTTTTTATTTTTTTTAATTTTGAGACAAGGTCTTACTAAGTTGCGTAGGCTGACCTAAGACTTCTGATCCTCTTGCCGAAGGCTCCCAAATAGCAGGGATTCATGATAGAAGGGTACTGCTGCACTTGGCTAGAACCCCATTTTGGGGAAATAGTCTTACAGATGAAAAGACCTGGAGGTACTAAACAATTAGTTCAAAGTAGTTACTGCCTATGGTTCTGTGTCTTCACCCTTACTATCAGCAACAAAATTTAATTGAAAGATTATTGCATTCTATATGAAGTCGCTTATAACAATAATAGTATTATTGCCAAAAAGAATTTTTCAGGGTATACAAAAGAGGAGGTAAGTGAAACATCTCCAATATGTGTAGACCAGTGTTTTTCAAGAACAGATCAGTAAGTAGCCATTTATGTATTGGCTTGTTGAAGCCTGAATCACTTTGAACATGTTTTAAAATATTTATTGTTTAGTTGTAGTTGGACACAATATCTTTATTTTATTTATTTATTTTTTAAATGTGGTGCTGAGAATTGAACCCAGGGCCTTGCATGGGCTAGGTGAGCACTCTGCCTCTGAGCCATAACCCCAGCTCCATGTTGAACATTTGATAACAGACATCTTGGGTATTTTATCCGGACCTTTCATTTCAATGTACATCAAATTAGGACAGTTCAAAGATAATAAGTAGTATGTAACACATTTACAAATGTTTAACGATTGATAGAAAGTGAAGAAAAAATCATATGAGAAAAAGCCATCTTACATTTAAATTTAGCGGCCGCCACCTTATTAATTTCCACTGAAATGATCTCTACTTTTAACTAGTTATCTGAAAACTTAGGAACTGTTATACCATCGGCATCTACACGTGCTTGGATAATTTGTATTACTGGAAAGATAAATGTGTTTTGTAGTAGTCAAGTTCCAATTTTCACAAACACATTTTTCAAATAACCTGTGGTTTACTTGTTTTACCAAATATGTGCTGCTTCTTTCCTAGTTGTTTTATCTTAATTTTCTTTTATAAACTTCTTTATGATAATATAGCTGGGAAGAATTAATGAAGAGTAGTGGTGACATTATTTTATCATTCCTTTCTCCTACATTTATAATATAGTCATCCCAACATAATATTTTTAAAAGATGGTGACATCTTATGACCCTCTCAGCCTATTTCCCATGATGACTTCTTATTTTCATGATGTACTTACAATTTTTTTTGTGTGTGTGTGTGTGTGTGCGCTAAGGATTGAACTTAGGGATGTTTTACTACTGAGTCACATCCACCCCCCCCCCAGTTCTTTTTTTGTTTATTTTTTTAATTTCAAGATGGGGTCTCACTATGTTGCTGAGGCTGGCCTTGAAGTTGGGGTCCTCCGGCTTCAGCCTCCTGAGTTGCTGGGATTTCAGGCATGTGCCACCACACCTGTCTTGTACTTGCATTTTAAAACTCCTCTGAATTTTCTTGATCTTATTGATGTTTTCAAACCTATTAATATAAGTAAATATATTAGGTACACAGAACAATGCAAATATCAGAAATGTGCATCTCAATTAATTTTCTTAAATACATTCATATAATTAGAACTCCGAATAAGAAATAGGATGTAATCAGTATCCTTGTTACTGAATTTTATTTGCTTGTGCATGTGTGTGTGTCAGTCTCCCTTCTCAAGAACTAATTATTTTCTATTTATTTCATTTTTGTTTATCCATGTAGCAATCTATGTGTAATTCTATATGTGATTCATAAATGCAAGTCTGTATTAGTTTTTTAGAATACAATTAGTATCATTCGAGGTTAGTTTAAATTTTTAAAAATCTTTGTTTTCTTTTTCTCTCCTTTCTACCCCTTTTAAAAATTTCATGCTATGATGACTTTTAGTGCTGGTGCAAAAGTACTTTAAAATGGTTAACTTATTTTCTTTTCCTTTTTAGTGTGTAAATTCAAGGCTCACAAAAGATGTGCAGTGAGGGCAACTAATAACTGTAAATGGACAACCCTGGCCTCCATTGGAAAGGACATCATAGAGGACGAAGACGGAGTAAGCGCTGTCTGCCCTTGGTCTCTTCCTGGTGCCTCCTCTCTTATTTTCTGGTCTTGGGGGAAATACTAATAGTTTAAGTGGGAGTGTTTAATTATCAGGATGAAATAGGTTTTAGTTGATTGTGAGTTTTTATTTTTAATTCATTGCTTTATAGCTTTCCCTCGCTCTTGGATTTTGAGGGAACTCTGTTAAGATTAGGGCTAAGGAATGACTGCTGGACCTGGCTGGTGTAACAGAAGGTCACACTCTGTGATCTATAAGGTTTAGAGGAGGTTTGTTCTGCAGACTCTGGGGTTTCCTCTTTGCAGTACCCCTCCCTTAAAAAACGTCTCCTGCATTGCACCGCATAGGTGAATCTCTGACAGCCTTTAGTGGGCCATGTATCATGACCCTTTGTCTTTTCTCCTCAGCTAGACTTGCACCTGAATCCCAAAGCGGCAGGCCTTTTGTCTTATTTACTTTGTCTCCCTACAGGGTTTAGTCATAATAGATGCCCAATAAATCTGGGATACATGAGTGCCATGCAGGATGCCTGTTATTGACTCCATAGAGTAAGAAATCATTCAGTACCTTCCCAAGGGTAAGAACAGTGTTCTCCACAGTCTTCACTTTTGGTTGCCCTTTCTTCCTGCCCCACAGCTCGCTATGCCTCACCAATGGCTTGAGGGCAACTTGCCCGTGAGTGCCAAGTGTGCTGTCTGTGACAAAACGTGTGGCAGTGTTCTCCGTCTACAGGATTGGAAATGTCTTTGGTGTAAAACAATGGTGAGGATTTGCAAACATTTCATACCTTTTCACTGTCTTATTTGCTTACCTTGGACATCTGTGTGGTTCAGAAGCAAAGCAAAGACCTTCATGGCAGAGCCTGACAGCATAGCCCATTGTGGCATTCATGGCTTGTTAAATAGTGTTTTCCTTCCAGTTCCATATTTTCCACCCCCTAACCCCATTCCTGGTCATTTTTCAAATGCCCCATTTGTAATATTTTCTCTTATTCATATATTTCCTATGTCTCAGAATCTCTTTCCTGCAGATCTATTGTTTTCCATTTTGCTTCCACTGCACAGTGATCTGCTGTTTTCTGTGTTATAACCAGGTGCACACAGAAAGTCCTTTTCTGTGCTGCCAGATTTGGGTTAATATACGAAGTGTGATTTTGCTGCAGTACCATGTGTGTCCTCTGAAAGACAGAATGCCAAGTTCAATGGGCTATGCACTGATGTAATTTAAATGATATAAATTTAGGTCATATAATAAATAGCTTTAAACTTCTCTGCATGTGCAGGAAAGAAGTAAAAAGTTCACCCAGCATCGTGTGAATCATCAGCAAAGAACAGTCTCATTTATGCCAGATATCATACAGTCAGGGCTCCTGGACTGAATGAGGACATTCATAGAGAAGAGAAGTCATGCCGACATAGGGCTCAAAGACCACAGGACCATGAAGCCACAGCTGGGCATGCTTCTCTCACCCCTGGGTGCTGCTGTCCCAGGATGATAGTCCCTTGTGTTGGGGCTAACTCATTTGTTGGTGATTTGCTTCTTATGGTCTTTTAAAAAACTTGCTGGTCCAAATTTGGAAGTTGGACCCAAATTTTATAGTGTGGAAAATCCATTGCTTTTGGGAAGTCTGGTGTAGATCAGCATAAGATGTGATAATATGTGCTGGTTTCCTGTGAGATTGACTCCATAGGCCCCAGAGGAAAAAAAGTCCTATGACTTTTTAGTCAGGCTCATAGGCAATCTGTGATTCCTCTTAATTTTTAAACCAACTAAGATTTCCTTTGTCCTCATTTCCTTTTGTTATTTTTCATCAGTTGCCTCTTTAATTAGCCACAGGCTTGTGTGTGTGTGTGTGTGTGTGTGTGTGTGTGTGTGCTGGGGACCGAACCCAGGGCCTTATGCGTGCAAAGCAAGCACTCTACCAATTGAGCTATATATCCCCAGCCCACAGGCTTATTTTTGTTTTTTTACTTCGCTTACTTCACTCTCATATAACGTACAGACTGTGATGGGTCCCTTTCTGTGGACTCTCAGTACAGCCCTGACCCCCTAAGACCCTCTTATGCCATCCTTATTTTAAAGGAGTGCTACCCATAAAAAAGATTTAAAATCATCATTCCACATAAGATTTATTTTGGGGGGAATGATCACTGATAGTATTTCCTGCTAACACATCTCATGTGTGATGAATCATTTTAGAAGGGTTTTGTGTAAATTGTCTTTACCTGCAGAATATATGTCTTTACTTTTATTTGGTCAGTAATTTCCTACTTCATGGTAGGAGTTAATTAGGTTTCATTCTTGTTCCTTCTACTCATCCCCAACTTTAAAAAGTTTCACAAATAGAAGAGCAACATTATCTTGGGAAAACAACTGAAATTTAATAGCAATTTTAAATGGGGTGCATGGGGACCATTCTGGAATGGAACCATTCTAGAGTGTCTTTTTCTTCTTTTTTCCTGCCCCACCCTGGGTAAGTTACACCTGTTGGTTTCTGGCACCATCACCTCTGTAGTGCCTCTCTTAGCCTCGAATTTCTTGTGCACTATCATTTATCTGTTTATATTTTTCTTTACCTGTAAAATATGAATTTCTTTCTTTTTTAAAAAACTATTTTTTAGTTATACATGGACACAATACCTTTATTTATTTTTATGTGATGCTGAGGATGGAACCCAATGTCTCACATGTGCTAGGCAAGTGCTCTACCACCGAGCTACAACCCAGCCCCTAGAATGTGAATTTCTAACAGCAGGCTATCTAGGGCTGAAAACATAATCAGGTAGGGAAAACAAGCGAACAAAACAAAGCAAAAAAAACCCAAAACCATGCCAAGTCCCAAAGCCCATAGTTCCATAACCCTGAAGATTTAAGTCATAATTTTAAAATCAGTGAATATACAACTTTATCTCCTGCTTTTCTCACTTAGATTATTATTAATAGCTTCCCGTTTTGCTCCATGATTCTCATGTATTTTTATATTCCTTTTACAACTATCCATGTATACTAGTTTTTATAGAATGCATTTTGGTTGTTAATTATTATAAATCCTAATCAACTGTCCCAAAACAGTTGCTATTAAATTTGCTAAAAACTGCTATTAAATCTCACTTATTTCTCAAGAGTGTTCATAGAGGTTTAGTCAGTGTGCCAGTTTTCTTAAAGCACTAATGATATAAAGCCCCATTCAATAAATGGTTTATGAAGCATCTGCCAAAATATTTTAAAGGGTCCCTAGGTTAAATACACAAAGTATTCTAAGTGGCCTGGCTCCTACTTGTTAAGTTAGCCTGCTTTGTTCTCAGTAGTATCTTGACTGACCTTGAAACTTTGTTTCTTCAGCAAGCATTTACCACAGGCTTGTGATGTGAATCCCTCTCCCTTTTCCTTGCAGATCTAGCTAGCAGTCCAGCTGAGAAAGTAGGCATGGATGTGCTGATAGTGATGATAATTTTAACACATGATAAAAGAAATGCGAATAGAAAGTTGTAGGAGCACGGGAGGAAGAGCAGGCACATGGCTGGTTTCATTTTCATTAAGTCTGTAAGAATTTTTATATGGTAGAGGTCATCGATTTGTTTTATGGGTATAATATTGACATACTGGAACTCTTTCCTCCTTTCTCCCTCTCTTCCCTTTTTCATTTCCTCCTTCCCTTTCTCCCTCTGCATTCCCTCCCTTTTCTTACTCTCTCCTTGCCTTCAGCATTCATTGGCCATATCCCTTGTTTGAGACCATCACAGAAATAGGCCACATGGACCAAAATTATATTCCCATCACTAAGATGCTTGGTCTATTCCTTAAGAAATATAAATACTGTGCCATTAAAGTAACTTGCGAATTACTGAATATTTTGTGATGATGTTGATCCTAAATGATCATTTCTGTAGATGTAATTTATGACATAGAAAAGTGCTTTGTTTTTATGATTCCCAAAGCTTTATTTGTTTATCATTAGGTACATACTGCCTGCAAAGATTATTATTTTCCTGTATGTCCACTTGGCCAATGCAAAGTATCTATCATACCTCCAATTGCACTAAATAGCACTGATTCTGATGGTATGTAATAATAGTGTGAGTATGTGTATTTCTGGTATATTTAATATTTATATGTACATTTGTTTTTCTAGAATAAATAGAACTTAAGTTGGTTATTTTGGTCAATTTTTACATAATAATTCCATTTAAATTTCTGAATGGCATATTTAATTTGTAAAAGAATCTTTTAAAATGAAAGTTATAACGTAGCTATTATCTTATTGGTAAAATTACCATGTATGAGACTTTTAGATTTTACATTTAAGTAAATAAAATAAGATCATTATCCTGTACTGAAGCATAATCTGAACAGGCTAATTTTTATAAGTGGTTTTTCCACCATAATTGAAATTGCTCATTAGCATGGCTGTTATTAAAATTTGTTTTCTTATAATTTCATTGCAGAAATTTATATCCTATAAATGCATTCACTTTTTCCAGAATCTTACAACTTAATTGTAAGTGCTGAGGAAACTTTTCACAACACTGGTTTTAGGATAGCATACTAATAACTTCCTTCTAAGCAAGTTACATTATAAAAGGCTTTTACTATGTACTGTTGTTAATGTCTGGCATTTATAATGTGCTTTATGCCTTCTGAAATTTTAAGTAAATTAAGCCAATAAATATTTTAGATATAAAGATATAAAGCTTAAATAATATGATTTTTAAAACTTGTGCTATTGATTGCCTGCTCCATCTCTGACATATCTAGGTTCTTTTATTTATTATAAATTTTAATATTTTCTCAGATCTTATCAAAGAACAGTTAAATCATTTTAAAATAGTAAAAATGATCATATGAATTCTTTACAAATGTGAATTTATGGACTTTGCTTAGTTTTTCTTATAATTATATTGTTAAGACAGATGGTATATCTCAAATTATCTGTGGTTAATACTTTTCTTGTCTTTATTATCATTTTTCATTATAGAACATATTTTTAAATGAGAAGTCCTATATTCTTAGTATTTAAATAGTAAACCTCCACTTGTGAGTCTACATTATACCTGAATGTTCTAGTAATAAGCAAGATTTTTTATTTTTATGAATTTATCTTCCTTTCTGTGAATGTTCAGTATAATTTAAAAAGGAAAATAATACATATTGATCTTATGCTATATGTGTATTTTTTTTTTACAGGTTTCTGTAGAGCAACATTTTCATTCTGTGTTAGTCCTTTATTGGTTTTTGTCAATTCTAAGAGTGGAGATAATCAGGGAGTCAAGTTTCTTCGTCGTTTTAAACAATTGCTAAATCCGGCTCAGGTGTTTGATTTAATGAACGGAGGTCCTCATTTGGGGTAATTCGTTATTGATAAATATTATTTGAATGAAATATAGTACTAGGCATGAAATGTGCCTGGCTTTTCATCTCATGAAAATTATTGATTCCACTTGATCTCCTGTGTTGGTCTTCCCTCCTTCTCCCTTATTTAAAGCTTTCATTATTTAAAGTTTTAATATAAGCTTTTTGACAGTTATATAAATCTCTTGTATAAATTCCCTATTTTTTACCAAAATTTCCAAATTTCAAATTTATTAAGAAAAATTTTTATATATATTTTATATCAAACACTACTATCAATTTGTTTAGCTCCAAGAAGGATCAATTTCCATAAATATAAAATAAAAGCTAATATTAGAAAAATTATTTTCAAGGAAGGCTAGTATTAATTTATATATAATGTACATAATCAGTGATTTCACCAAGTTACAGATGTTATCATGGATCTCAAGGACAGTTCCTCAAGAATTTGACTTAGGGGCTAGGGTGGTGGCTCAGTGGTAGAGTGCTTGCCTAGCATGAATGAGGTACTGGGTTCAATCCCTAGCACCACATAAAAAAACTAAATCAACAAAAATAAATATATTGTGTTCATCTACAACTAAAAATATTTTTTAAAAAAAGAATTTGACTTTCACATAAATGACAACAAAATACTTTGGCTGACTCCCCCCCACCTCCCAGTTTTCTAGTATGTTATGCAACTTAAAATCTGAAAAAAATTAAATAGTATTTTTACTGAGGGGCGATGTGCCTTGAGACACATTTTCAGTGTTTGCATATGATTTTTCTTAAAGAGGATGCTGTATCTTCTGATGGAGGGATCTTTAATCTCTATGTGATTTGCAAAGGTTACTTAGCTTTTCCTGAGGATTTCCCTGTGACCTTTAAGTATGAACACAGAAGTAGCAATGGGAATTTTATTTTATTTTACTGCAGTCCTGGGTATTGAACCCAAGGCCTTGTACATACTAGGCAAGTACTCTACTATTAAGCTAGATCCCAAGGCCAGAAATTGGGATTTTAGATACCAGTGCCTGAGAAGCACTCATATATAAACTGACACTTTCCTCTGTCTTCTCTGTTTCTCTCCTGTTTCTCTTTGTGTCTCTTGTCACATTTGTCCCTTCAAGGTCTTCTGTCCTTTTTGCACTGCCTTTCTCTTTCTGAGTCTCAGTTCCTCTGTTCTACACGGACACTAGTTATCTTCATTTATACCCTACCCCTTCCCTAACTGTACATCTCTCTCTTGCCCCTGATTGGATCCCAGCATTTTCTCAGATGTCCTCTCACCTTCTTTGTGTCTTCTGTTCTTTGATAATTTCATTCTCTTTTCTGACATGTCTGTTTTTTTATAACTCTCCATACTTCTGTTAATTAATTAATTTAGGAATTTGTATAGGTGTATATTTATTTTTGGTGCTAGGGATTGAGCCCAGGGCCTCATACATTTGAAGCATGTCCACTACCACCAAACTGCTGCTCCATCTGCTCTCTTATACTCGTGATATTTATTTTTCCCATTTATCCTTTAAGCCCCCAAGGATCTCTCTTTGTGAAGTTTCCTGGGGTTGTTCTTATGATATATTTTCCAGATTTCCCATTATACTTGAGTTTTACAAAGGTACATTCAGGAGGTGAAATGTGTGGAAAGTTGATATAAAGGCTGGGGTTGTGGCTCAGTGGCAGAGCGCTTGCCTAGCATGTGTGAGGCACTGGGTTTGATCCTCAGCACCACGTATAAATAAACAAATAAAATAAAGGCATTCTGTCCATCTACAGACAGACAGACAGACACACACACACACACACACACACAAATGGAAAAAAAAGTTGAGATGAAGGGAGATAGAAGTGAAAGAATTGGCCTGAGACTAAGAGGAGAGGAGAAAAGGTGGGCTGACTGTACTTATGGCCACATGTTGGCAAGGTTTGCTAAGTGTCTTTAAGAATTGCTTCGGTGCCACTTACTGGCATCCCATCCTCAATTTCCCCTGGTTTATAATTCTTAAGGATATAATATATCCTTCTTGTTAAAATAGAAAAGCCACCACTTTCACAATTTCATGTTTACCTGTAGTTCTTTCCTGGTTCTGCTTCGATTTTGTTTCCTTATTTCTTGCTCCTTTTTCCTCCATTCCTGCTTGTAATTCCCTTTCATTCTTTTGATTCGGAGATTTTCTTGAATTAAAAATTGTACTCAAAATAATTTTTATAGTATAATTAGTAGATAAATACGAGTTTTTATATTTTATCTGAACTTGAATACCAATGCATGCAAGAATGACAAAGAATTAGAAAAAGTGATTTTTATTTATTTTTACTAAAATGAAATAATTTTTACTTTTAGTTTAAGATTATTTCAGAAGTTTGACAATTTCCGGATTCTTGTCTGCGGAGGAGATGGAAGTGTAGGTTGGGTTTTGTCAGAAATCGATAAGCTCAACTTGAATAAACAGGCAAGTGCTAATTCTTTTCCTTGCTGGTTGACGTGAATGTATACTAACATTATTTTCCAGAGAGGTGCAGAAATGTAATGGTCCTTATTTCTCAACTTTTCTGAAAGTCTCACTCTTGCACTCTCTCGTAGTGTCAGCTGGGAGTATTACCCTTGGGAACAGGCAATGACCTGGCTCGAGTTCTTGGCTGGGGAGGTTCATATGACGATGACACTCAACTTCCTCAGATACTAGAGAAACTGGAACGAGCCAGTACCAAAATGCTAGACAGGTAAGAGAAAATTCTCTACTAATCTTAGACTGAAAATGGCATACAGAAATCACTTTTTTGATAATTTAAATTTTACTGACTATACACCCATGAAGGCAGAGATTTCCTGGACTTGTCGACCATTTGCTCCCTGAGATTGAGAACCAGGCCTGAACAGAGTAGACACTCAATTAAGATATTTTCTGAATGAATGAATTTTTTGTAAAACTGAGGGGAAACACCTCTTCTCGCATTCCAATGAATCCATTGTTCTAAAGAGTAGATTGATACATAGGATGATAACTACTTTTAATAACTGTTCAAGTAGGATAAATAAAATAGTTAATTTGGTGTGTAGTGGGGGGTTGGTGAGTATGAAAAGTAGGACCCCCATCATCATGTGACTTCAGAAAAGCAAAGACAAACTTTTTGTTTGTTAGAATATCTCTTCTTAATTATACACATTACAAACAAATTGTTCCAACAAGGAACTGAATTTTTAAAAAAGATAAAGCATCCTGTCCCCGGAACAGGGAAGTGTTAGGAAGACAGCTTTGAATGAAGGGCTTATCACTATATTTATGCTGTCCCTGCTCATATCCCATACCCACTTTCTCTCTGAGTAGACCACATGTAAAACAGAAATCACAGTATGTAGCTGAGTGGTGTGCAGAAGGTGTTTAGAATTTGGGTATAGGGAATAACAGGATTTAGTAAGCAGCAATTACCCCACCCCCATGAGTAGAAGACAAATGTCAAAATATCATTATAGACGTGAGGTAGCATGACTCAAAACAACATTGATAGGATTAGCCATCTGTGGAAGTCGTCCCGAAAATAACAAATCTCATCAGGGAGCCACCAATCTAAAATGTAATTACTCTAAGATGAGCTGTAACCAAATTAATTGTAACCTTGTCTGTCATAAGGTAATACTGTAATGCATGATTCTTTTGCTGACAGACTGTTTGAAAAGAGAGCTGCACAATAGAATATTTGTCTATATTATCCAAAATTGTATGAGAAACACTCCTATAGTTTGACTGCATAGTCTAGGGTGAAGCTGGATTCAGTTTCCAATTCTTAAAAAAGCTTAGAGGTTTTCTTTAAAAAAAATAATAATAGGAACCATGTGAGGAGATGGAAAAGTTAATTGGCTTGATGTATAAATCAAAATATCAAATTGTACACCTTAAATATATATACATATAGTTTTTATTTGTTGGTATACCTGGGGGGAATTGGAAATAAATAAATAAATAAAATCACCATTATTTATAAAAGAGCTTGGAGGTGATTTACTGAACAACTGTCTGATTCTGTGCTTTCCAAACAACATGAAGTATTTTAAATACTTTCTTCGTTAAAGATTTGAAGAGCACTGCTTCCTGTTGCATCCTAGGAAGTGTTATTGGGTGTTTCCTCTACCCTGGATATGTGCTTTTCCATGGTATTCTAGAAATTCACTTTTTAATTAGCTGAGAAATAGCATCTTTATAGTGAAACTCCTGCTTCATACCAACAAGCCTGGGGAAAACACAAGGAAAAAATAAAAATCAAAAGAGACTCAAAAACCTAGGAAATAAGAAAAATGGAATCCAATGTTATTGCTAGAAACAAAAGAATATTTTGTTCCCTTTTTCCCCTAATTTACTATTTGCAAAGATGTAAAGAAAAAAAATCACTGTTTAGTATTCCAAATCATATGTATCTATTCGCTCCAATTATAAATTTATAGGATGGATTAGGGAAGCATTATGATGACTATTTTATTAAAATGTAAAATTGAGGCTTCTGCAGACAATGGTAATAAAAATAACTAGTATTTTCTGTCTGCCTGGCACTGCCAATCATTTTACTCCTCAATCATCACTGCTCCTAAAGAGAACCAATATTGTCATCTCCATTTTCCTGGTAAAACGAAGGTTTTTACATGATCAAAATTGCATAGCTAGAAAGTACTAGAACTTGCAGTTTAGAGTTCCGTCAGTAGTTCCTAGGGTCTTTCTTCAACATTGCACTCTTCTGTCCTTAAACATATAGTCAGCAGAGAAGTTCTAGCTTTCTGGCCTCTGACTCTGCTAGCTGTTACTTCTGCCTGACTCTTTCCTCTCTTACCGCCACTTTCTCCTGCTTCTTCAGCTCCAACCATTTCTTATGTAGGAGGAAGGTATGGCATGGAAGATGTAGACACTGGATGGGTTTCTTTCCCTTTTTTTTAATTGCTCTTTTGACCAGAGAAGTATTTCCAGCTATACAGAACTTGACTTTTATGTTTCCAATTGTGGTTTTCTCTGTTAGATACTTGCAAATTTAATTGTTTTGTTTACTTATACTATCCCTGTTTTCTGAAGTAGAATATATATTAGGAAAGCATTCTTCACTCTTGTGTTTTTAGACCCTGTTACTTTGAGATGTTCAATATATATCTGTTGCACAAATGAATGGGTAGACGGTTATATGAATGAATGAATGGCTTTCAGCACTCAAATTTACATTTCTTCATAATATTTTCATGTTAAGAGTAGAATAGTAGCTTCAAACAACTACTCAGTTTATATATCCTAACACATAATATATGTTTATTGGGGGAATTCCTGGGAATTTGGGTTTTTATGCAAAGATTTATGCTCATTAGTCTGAATGATACACCAAGCTCAGTTTAAATACTGACCTTGGGATTTGCCTCTAAGTTGTATCATTGGATTCAATTTTTCTTAAAAGTCATATATTTTACCACTATTTTTATAATGCTTTGTTTCTGTGTAAAATCTTCATCTTACATTTTGTAGTCTACAATAATGCCATGACCCAATATTTCTTTTCAGTTTTGGAAATTATTATTTTAGTTAGAAGGCTTGAATTATCCTAAGTTGATTGATTTTCTCTAATACCAATGATTCAATGTTTGCTTTGAAATTAATATTAATAGTTAGTTGAAATAAATTTGTTTGAATTAAGTATCATTTCTATTAACATTTCTCCCTCAATCCTATGCTTAAATTTATTCTTTCTTAAATTAGGAGTTCACCTATTTTGTTTCACGTATGTATGTGTAAGTTGCTTGGGCAAGAATGGTCGGTACATATACTGTGTTTTTCATAGGTGGTATACATTTATTTAATCTAGGACATTGTTTTGGAATTCTTGGTTGCGACGCATCAATAACTTGTAATCTACTTAATAATTTACAGTAATCATAATTTTAAAAGAACTGAATAAAAAAGTCACAATGCATTACACCTAATGAAGAATGAGAAGTCTTGTTACGTTTGAACATTTCTTACTATGGGCATGCTCTTAAAACGTTTAGAAGTCACTTTGTGGAGAAATGGTAAAATGTTGAAATCATAAATATGAATCCAATATTTTATGAGATTACCAAAATTATATCTCTTTCTCATTTTTTTGATTAAGATACAATAAAGCCAAAGTTCACAAATACACATATATGATGAAATAAGAACAGTTTGTTAAATTTTAAAGGCGTTTTAGACCAAAGGATTTTCTCCCTTCAGGTGGAGTATAATGACATATGAACTCAAATTGCCACCAAAGGCTTCTCTACTTCCAGGACCTCCAGAAGCACCTGAAGAATTTTATGTAAGACTTTACCTTTTACCTATTTATCATTTAAAACGGGGGTTGACATCTTGGGGAGAAAAGAGAAAACCTACTCGTAATGGTACCTGTAGCATGCTTACTTCATCTTATGTTAATCTGGGGGACTATTGCCTCCTTGACTACTTCTAGTTCTTTCCTCAGATTAAAGATTCCTAAAGATCCAGGTTAGACTCCTTCCATGACCACCCCCATAGGGAGTGTGACCTTACCCGACCGAGTCACTTGCCCCTGTGGGCCTTATTAACATTAACTGTGACATGAGGCTGCAGTGTTGAGGATTCAGTGATCTGCACCAGGAATATAAGGTCCTTTCTCAGCTCTCAGTAGTTCTCCCTGGTTATTCTACCTCCTGCTTCCTTTTTACCAGCAGAGCTCAAGGGGCCAGCTTCCAGCTTGCTTCCACTCATCTTCTGCCTTGTTCATGAGCACCCGTTTGATTATCGGGTATTAGCCCAGCTCCCTTAAACAATCTCCAAACAGACCAGTACTTGTAGCCAGAATATTGTATAATGATCCTAAGCTTTGCCTCTTCTTTGAAGGGAGCAAAAGACAGGGTTAAGCCTGTTGATCTAGAGAAAACCAAGGAATTAAGATAGGTCACTTCATTCCAGAAAGACCGCAACTGCCTGAAGTTTTTAGACAACATTTTAAAAGACTCAGCATTCTGATTAAATCTCCAAGCAGTAGAGATTTAAAACAGAACCTGACTTTCAGAGGATTATTCTCTGACTCATTAAGACCATTTGATCTACGAGAGCTTATTTTTCCCTCTAGGAAAATTTATCTGTTTATTTTACAAATGAAACCTTTGTTTTGTCATTAAGAAAATTATGATCTTGTCAAAACTAGGGCAAGGGATGATAACTGGAAAATAGGGCTATTCCTTAGAGAAGCTAATTGTATTTTTAAAATATTTTCTGATATAAAAGTAGAAAACATTATATCTAAAAAATTTTTAAATAGAAAATTATATGAAAAAGAATCTAAAAGTCACTCATTGTCCTACCACATTTCCAGGAACATTTTTAGTTATATTATTCCATCTGCTATAACCATCAAACACGTTTTTTATGGAAACCATTCTTTTCTCAATAGTATTTTTGTAAATGTTATTAGTTTTCTTTCCAAAAAAAGAAAAAGGGAAATTCTTTTGTTCTACTTACTTCAGAAATGTCTGTTTCCTAGTATATAAAATAAAGATAGATAATTGCCTTCTATCATTTTTATGTAATCATATCTTAAATATGAAGTGTTAAGTACATAAAGGAAATCTCTTCCTTTTTTTTTTTTTTTTGTGCAGGTGGGCTTGAAAACGTCATCTTTTTAAAACTTTTTTGCAGTACTAGGGTTTGAACCGAGGATACTCTACCCCTGAGCTACATCCTCAGCCCTTGTGGTTTTTTTTGTTTTGTTGTTTTGTTTTGTTTTTTAGCCCTTGTGCTTTTTTATTTTGAGACAGGATCTCATTAAATTGCCCAGACTGACCTTTAACTTGCGATCTTCCTGCTTTGGCCTCCCAAGTCACTCTATAGCCCTGTGCCACCAAGCTCAGCTAATTTTTTTTAAAACTGATTTTCTTAACAAACAGATAGCATCCTTTAATATTACAGATTAAGTGGATATTCTGTCTGGCTCAGACCAAGGCCTGAACACCCTCCAGCTAACATCAAGAAAACACTTTATTATCTGTGATTTTATTTTTTACCTTAAAAATTATAATAGAAGTAAGCTAAATACTTTGTTTTTTAATTCCTGAGCAATTCATTGACTATGGGTATTAGGCTGGTTACTCAGCTTACCTTTTTCTCAAGTTCCTTGACTGTAAAATAGAATAGTTAAAGGGCTAAAAGTATACAAAATACTTAACATTAATGCCTGCTACACACACACACATACACACACACAATGTTAACTGTTAATGCTAAGTGATTAATGAGTGACACATATAATTTTATCCTTGGACATAAAGCTTATCTTATTTTACTCTGAAAGGGTTGGCATTGTTTTCTTTGAATATCTCTAATGGATAACAACTTGGATTTTTTTAAGATGTAAATTGCAAATGTCATTTGTCAAATGACAATAAATTAATCAACTGATATTAATTCATTAGTCAGTGGCATTAATGGTCATTTAAAATATTTTCCACCCATTAGGGAAGAGAAAACTAATCTCTAAAAAGCGCTTCCTTATTTTATAGTTTTAAAAGAGGTACTTCTGTTTTTCTGATCTCTAAAAATGCAGTTTCTGGCATTTAAATCAGGAGATTGGTAAAGTGGATTTGTGGGTCGGTCAATACAATATGTGTGTAAATTTAAAGTTCCTGCCCTTTCTCCTTTTCATTGATGTAAAATAACTTTTCTCTATTTGGCCTGCTTTTGAAGTAGGTTAAGATAGAAATTTAAAAGAGTAACCGGTGCACTTGACTGTAAATTAGAACTGACATTGCTTTGGGAAGAGGCTAGTCAGGAAGTTTTTTTGGAGGGGGAGAGGCATTAACTTAATCTTCAGTTAAGTCTGAATAAACTGATGCTGGTTGGGGAAAAGCAATGAAAAGATCTGAGTATGGCAGCATCAGGCCTGCTTGAATAGAACCTGTCGTTTATACTGAAAAAATTTGAGCTATGGAATATATTAAAGCAAACATTTAAAGGGAGGCTGTGAATGTGAGATTGTTTAAATACTATGCATATTTTTATGTACCAGGAAGATGAGCTCTTTCAACATGATGTCAAAGTTTGAGTCAAATAGAAAAGGGGATATAGGGCACTTGGCATTTTGATTTTTTTTGTGTGTGTGTTGTTATTTGAGAGAAAGCTTTGTTTACATGATTGATCACATACATGACTATACGACTGCATGATCGCATTTTTTAAAACTTTTTTTTGATCATAACAGGCATGTAGAAAAGTATGCATATCATAGATAAAGAGCTTGGTACATTTTTACAAACTAAACCAATTTATATAATCAGCACTCAGATCACAGGACAACATTCAAATACCCCACAAATTCCCCTCCCGGCTCTTTCAGTTACCACCCCACACCTCCCCCCTGTAACCACTCTCCTAGCTTCTAATAACATAGATTCATTTCGTCTTTTTTTGTATTTTATAAAATAGAATCATGTTGCATATTCCCTTTTGTATCTGGATCCTTTCACTCAACATTATGTTTGTCAGATTCAGCCACATTGTGGGATAATTGAGCATCTTCCCCTCTCATTGTTCCACAGTGTCCCATTCCACAGATATGCTACAGTTTGTTATCCACTCTACTATTGGGTGAATGCTGCATGAAAATTCTAGTACATGTCTTTTGCTAAACACACACCTGTGTTTTTTTGGGTTTTTTTTTTTTTTGGTTGTAGAAGTTGAATCTCTTGAGTCCTGTGGTATCGTGCATACATTCAGCTTTTTTTTTTTTTTTGGAGTACCAGGGATTGCACTCAGGAGCGCTCGACCACTGAGCCACATCCCCAGCCCTATTTTGTATTTTATTTAGAGACAGGGTCTCACTGAGTTGCTTAGTGCCTCGATTTTGCTGAGGCTGGCTTTGAACTCGTGATCCTCCTGCCTCAGCCTCCTGAGCCGCTGGGTTTGTAGGCATTCACCACAATGCCCAGCGTACATTCAGCTTTCATGGATATTACCAAATAGTTTTCTGGAGTGTTGGTATCAATGTGCACTCTCCTCAGAAGCCTATGATAGTTCTGTAGCTCCACTGTCCTGCCAACATCTGGCAGTTTTCACTTGTTGCTGTCTTCATCTCCTTTCCAGGAGACATGTGGTGGTAGTGTGTTGTGGTCTTAGTCTGCACTTGGTGGATGGCTGATGAGGTTGAACACCTTTCCATCTGTTTATGGATCATCAGTAGCTCTCCTATTTAAATTACTTTTGCCCATTTGAATTAGGTTATCTGGCTTTTAAGAATTCTTCTCATATTAAAAAAAATATATTTTTTTTAAATTTAAGAGCTTTTTGTGGGTTTTTCTCCTACTTGCTCCCTAGTAATGGGGATTGAACCCCAGGGGCACTTTACCCCTGAGTTACATCCCCAACTCTTTTTATTTTTTATTTCAAAACAGGGTCACACTAAGTTTTTGAGACTGTCTTGAACTTGTGATCCTCCTGCCTCAGCCTCCTGAGTCACTGGGAATATAGGCATGCCACCCCTGCTTTCTAGCCTTTTATGGACTCTTCTAAAAATATACATTAAAGAATTCCAGAAGATGAAAGCCTGTCACAGAAAGGAAATTTTTATCTATTTTTCATGACTCCTTTTTCATTGTAGCAATTGCTGTTTCGCTTGTGTCATGAACAGCTCTTTTAGAAGCAGTAATGACGGAGTTGTATATATGCCAACAATAATAATATAGCATAGGGTATTTTCTTGTTTCAGATGACGATTTATGAAGACTCCGTTGCAGCTCATCTTACAAAAATCCTCAATTCTGATGAACAAACGGTGATTGTATCATCTGCCAAGTGAGTTGTGGAGTTTGAGTCATGAAATAGTTACATGGTAAAAATTAAAGGAAAGCTGCTTCTTCCTGCTTATATCGTTTTTGAAAATTTTTCTTTTCAAAAAATATCTATGAAATTCACAAAATTAGCTGTACTGAATTTGATTTGATTTTTTTAAAAAAATCACTTAAGCATTTTATTTGGAGTGGAATACATTTAGATATATATATTGCTGCTTAATTTGATACATTTTTTTGTCAAAAACTTGTAATAAGTATTTAGAGGTTAATCAATCTGATGTCTATTTAAAGGTAGATTATGATTAATTATAACATGGAAAGCACATTTTGTTATAACTTCTTACTTCTAAAAACACTACTGCTTAGGAACTGTTTACCTCAGTAAAAGGAAAACAACAATGAGATTTTTCAAAATGACATTTCTCAGCATGTTTAAATTGCATAATTATGTTTTAATTCAAAGTTATCAGATTTTAGTTAAGTTGATTGCATACATGGAGCCAAAGCTACTTGATGTTATTATCCCAAATGCTGCCTGGCTGGAATTTAGAATTTAGTTTGGAAGCATCCTATACTGATGTCATGAGAACTGGAAGGCTGACCAGAGGAAGGGGATGAAACCACCCCAAATTTTCAACTGATAAGTGAAAGAATGCTGAAAGAGTCTAGCTTAGCAGCAGACATTACTATTATGCAGAAAGAGAGGAGACAAAGAATGGGTAGAAGGAGAGAAAGGGAGTGGGAAAGAGGTAAAGGAAAAATACACTAATTTTAGTATCTCACATACTTCATTTGCAGTGAAGAAGAAAGAGAACAGAAATCTTTAGGGAAAACTTACTTGTGACAGAAGTACAAATGTAGTCAGAATTGCTTTTGATGACATCTCATGCAGGAACAGGAAACAGCCCTGAACAATAGAAAAAGAGCTCAGTGGGTTAAGGGAGTGGAAGCAAGTGGTTGTTGTAAGCAGAAAAGGACTGCAGACTGGTGGGCAGTACTGCTGGTTGATTTATGTTTATTTGTTATTTAATGAATTGTATTGCTTTATGGTGAAATATGTAAATTTCCAGTTTGTCCCAGGCCTCAACACTCCTTAATGCCTTTCTCTTTCTGGCCACAATTCATACATCTGTTACTATCTGGATCCCTATAGATATTTGACTTTGCCACCTTTGTCTCATGAATAAATGCTTATTTATAGGACATTTAAGAAAACATTGCTAGAAAAGATGGCAAGTTGGAAAGGAAGCTTTGAAAAGGTGTAACAAATTATAAAAGAATGATTCCTTATTTAATCCACTGTAGTTAAATATTTTCTCTGACTACCTTTTAGCAAAGCCTTTGTATTGATCTTCACGTTTTGATAAGTTTGATCACTGTGTCCTATACATTTTATGTATTTTTAATTAAATGGAGTTCAGGCCATGAAATTTGGACATATACAAACATGATCATTATGGCGGCCACTGCTTTCTCTTTCTTCTTCTTCTTCTTCTTCTTCTTTTTTTTTTTTTAATACCAGGGATTGAACCCAGAGGCGCTTAATCACTGAATCACATTCCCATCCCATTTTATTTTTTATTTTGAGACAGGGTCTCACTCTGTTGTGTAGGGCCTAGCTAAATTGCTGAGGTTGGCTTTGAATTTGTGATCCTCCTGCCTCAGCCTCAGCAGCTGGGATTATAGGCATGTGCCACCACACCTGGCTCTTCCTTATCATTCTTAATCTTAATACCTGTGTAGTACAACATTCTTATCAGTGAAAACCTTTTCTCAAATAAAATCTTACACAACATTCCAGTATTAAAAAATTAAAATTGTTTTGTTGATATTAATTGGATGTGCTTAAATTATTAAAGACATTTATGAAAGAGTAAGCAATAAGGTGATAGATGAGTTATAATCTCATATTTGATGCAGTTTTCAATTATTTATTTATTTCTTTTTAAAGAGAGAGAGAGAGAATTTTTTTTTAATGTTTATTTTAGTTCTCGGCGGACACAACATCTTGTTTGTATGTGGTGCTGAGGATCGAACCCAGGCTGCATGCATGCCAGGCGAGCGTGCTACCGCTTGAGCCACATCCCCAGCCCTTCAATTATTTCTGTACCTAATTTGCTCATACTGTTATAAGGACATTGTCTTTGATTAAATAAAAATGGCAGAAAATTTTTTAGTCCAAGAGTTGCACAAAAACTAGTTGATTCTAAAGTAAATGTTAACATTTTATTTGTCTGTCATGTTTCTAATAATCGTTTGGCCTTAAAAATACTATGTGCTATATTTCTAAATGAAATTTGAAACACTCATTTATGGAATTCTGAAAGCATTTAGAGAACAGTTTGAAAATCATGGGTCAAGTAAATTTGTGTCCTAGTTGACACTTATTCACTAGCCTTGGGATCTGAGTCTGGTTTTTACCAGTGTAAGAAGGGAAAGGAATGCCTATTATTTTCCCTTCATGGAACTCTTAGGAGAATTAAGTGGAGTAATAAATATAGAGCATATAAACTACAGAGTGCTAAAAATATACTAAATTATAGTATCATAGTATACTAAATTATGGTATTATCACCTCATTTCCCTAATTACATTTCAAATGTTTTCTGACCTTGGTCTGGCTCTTTGTTTATGCTGTGCTCCTAGCCTGAGTTTGGGGTTTCTCTCCAAACAGCTCTCTTACCTTTAAACAATTCCATTTTCACCCTGGTCTCCTTGTTACTCCTCTGTGCTCAGCGGCCTGCTACTGTCCTGTTGTCACAACCCCAGATTAAAATTGGGTGGATTTGATCTAAAGAGTTCAAGAGAGAAAAGAGAGGACAACATGTAATACATTATGCCAGTTAATACAATGTATTTTTTATTTTGTTTTTTTAATGGACATTTTCAAACACTACATAAAAGTATGATAATTTCCCACTAAGCCCATCACTTAGCTTCAGTGTTTATCAGCATTTTTGCCATCTACTCCCTAGTTTTGCTATAGTATCTTTAAGCAAATATGAGAAATAATTTTATTCTATTTTTATTACATGTACATATATATAATCTTTTTTTAAAAATCCAATAAATTTAATAATTCTCTAGTACCATCAATATTACTCGATCCATCTTCCATGTCCTCCAGTTACAGTTTATATGCTCTATATTTATTACTCAGTTGTAGATGGACATAATGCCTCTATTTGTTTATTTTTATGTGGTGTTAATAATCAAACCCAGTGCCTCACATGTGCTAGCAAGTGCTTTGCCTCTGAGCTATAGCCCTAGCCCCTCAAAATGTTTTAAATAGTTAGTTTCTTCAAATTAAAATCCAAACAAGGTTCACAGGTTTCATTTGGTTTATATGTTTCTTTAAGGCTTTAAAAACCCATAATTGGGGCTGGAGATATAGCTGAGAGGTAGAGTGCTTGCTTAGCATGGATGAGGCCCTGGGTTTAATCCCCAGCTATAAAAAATACAATAAAATAAATCTGCAGTAGTTCCTTCTGCTTATAAAAAACAAAAACAAAAAAATCCTATTGACTCTTGATATATAAAGAGTACCCAAACCACAAAGATACAACTCAATGATTACAAAGAAATTCCTCACATATCTGCACCTATGTAACCACCACCTAGACAAAAATAAAGAATATTCTTCTTATGTTAACACCATGTATGTGTTGAATAAATGAAAAAGTGAATAAATATTAAGGAAAATAACTTCCTTATGTGATTATAGTTATTTCATAAAATAGCTATTTTTACTATTTAAAAATATTTAAATGTTAATGGAGAAGCTACATTTCAATGATATAGCTAAGGTGTAGGTTAACTAATATAGGTGAACCTCAAACATTATTTCTTTGATTTTGCCTGGGATTTTATCAATTCAGTAGAGTATAAGGAGTTATCTTAGAACCAGAAGCTCTAATTAACAATCGATGCCATTTATTAATTAAAAATAGAAAAGTTATTAAATTACAATCTTTACCTGAAACATAAATGTGTTTTGTTTTATTCTCAGTAGTTTTTAAACTTTACTAACGTTAACAGTATGTAGGCATTACTTAGGGTTTTTTGTTGACTAACTCTACTAACCCTAATTATTAAAATGAATGGCATTTGGTCTGTATATGAAATTTTCAGAAAATGAGGTAACTGACAGGAAAAAAAACAATAGAATTGGAGCTATTGTCATAGAATGGTAGAATTTAGATTTGGAATCTACTTTAAGGATAATTGAGGTAAACCTCCATGCATGAAGAGATGGGGTGCAGAGTTATTAAACATCTTTCTTCAAGCACATAGATTGCAAGGAGTCTTTAGATATTATTCATTAATGTTTCTAAATATCCTTTAATATCTGATTGTAGCATTTTATATTAGATGACAAACAAATTTTTTAGGTCCCTTTCTATGATCTGTGATTCTATATGGGCATCATGGGCATATTTATCTTAATATAGTATTTGAATATTTTATTGTTCATTGCCCCTATTTTAAAAAGTAAATTGAAAACTGATAAATGAAGACACAGATACTCATTAGGACAATACATCTTGTAAAACAGAATTGAGGTAATGATGGAAAATATTAAGCATAATCATTGTAGACTGTTATTAGCCTCAAGTGACTATTTGGAGCATAGTTAACTGTGAAGGATGACAAAAAAATTAAAGAAACAAAATGTTGGAAATATCTAAAGTTCTAACATTAAAGATAAAAGCAGGGATTAAAATTTTGTTGTTCTTTGAGAAAATCAATGTTCCATTTTCATTGATTTAATTTTTGCACTTTTTCTAGAGAACTTTAGGTATTAAAATAGAAAACTGTGGGTATAGTTAAAGAGTGTCTTTGCATTACTATAGTAAACACATCTTAAAACTCTTTTTCCTCAATTTGTAAATATCTACTTGATAGGACCTTGAAATCACACTATTTTTAATTGTACATTTTATTTTAAAAACTCTATGATTCAAAATGTAAATATTCTGTTTCTTCTGGAATATGGAACTTATGGACCATAAGACCGAGTTTTTCTTCTGATTCTTCCCACAATTTATGTGGCAAGCAGCCTCTGACCTTCACTCATATTCCCCTTCCTTACCTCTCTTGGCACAGGTTCACGGGCTCATACTGTGATGATTACAGGATCATCTTTTGCTTACTGTCTGCCTTGGGAATGTGGTGCAGTTGAGGAAGGAGAACTCTGCTGCCCCTTTCACTCCTAGATTAGTGGACTGATGGCTCTTGTCCCTAGGGGTTAGTAAATAACAACAAAAGTAGCAATGATAATGTTCTGGCATATGCAGTTTCCTAAATCCATAAGAAATTATATATCAAGACAGTGTTAGAATAATGGCAAAACAAACCTCCATTTTGGAGTTACACAAAAGAGTTGAGAATGCCAATATCTCCTCTCCCAAGAAGGAACACAACTTAGAGACATTGCCAGTAAAGCCCCCAAAAGAAAATCATGATAGTCTGACTTAATATTTTAAGAAATGTCATAAAAGTATAAAACATCAAGAAGAAAAATTTGATGTGAAGGACATAAAACCATCTCTGGTAAATGTTAAGCTAGATTCTTTGTAGAATTTGAGCTCAAAAAGTCAAACAAGGGAGCTGGGGTGTAGCTCAGTAATAGAGTGCTTGTCTAATATGCACAAGGCCCTGGAATTGATCCCCAGCACTGGGAGGAAAAAGCCAACCGAACAGATTAAAGGGGTTAGGAGATAATTATTTTCTAGCAAAGTCAATATAGGAATGGTTGCCCTAAAACAACAAATGAAAGAAAAATTATTAGGCATACTGTATTTATTTCCTAGATGACAAATGTGAAGATTTGGTGTGTTCGTGTGGGCGTATATATGTGTGTTCTATATCCATTGAATGGGTCAATTTCATAATATCTATAATGCCACTCACCTAACAGAGAAATTGTGAATTTAGTAGAAAAAGTAACTTCTGGGTTTTTTTTCATTTTCTTCAAATTCCTCAATGTATAGCAATGATAGAAAGCAAACCATGCTTTAAAATAATGTTCCCAACAGCATAAATTCTTATTAAACAAAACAAAACAAAACAAAAAACCTTAATCATGTACCATTCTGTTGGTGGTTGTTTTTAATCCAATACCATATCCAAAGGCTTCTGAAAGACAGATTTTGTGTTTCAAGTTATTTTTCCTTATAGTTTATTTCTATTGCAAAGAAACCAAATGTAATTAAAATAAGCAAGTAAACCATATATCGCCAACACTAATGAGACCTGAATTAAATTAGTCTTGTATGTTATTGCATTGGTTATCTTAAGGGGGAAAAATGAATAGATTTACAGAGAATATAACTCAATTCGAGTGACAGATTGGTTTGCAACGTAATACACAACATCTTTTCTCTGCAGGAAAAGTGTGGTATCAAGATACCCATGTGATGAATTTTAGATGGACAGGAACAACACAAGTGACAAACCATGCTAGTTTGTTTGACACCACTGTTTTCATTATGAAAACATGAGCTGTGGGTGATAATGCATTGTTTAAAGAAGATCTAAAAGTACTTTCCTTTTTTTTGTGGGGGGGGGGCAGGGAGGGAAAAGCAGTGCTAGGGATTAAACCGTAGGCTTCACACATGCTAAGCAAGCACTCTACCACTGAGCCATATCCCTCACCCTAAAAGTACTCTTCTTTGAGTATTTGAGAAAGGTGTGCTCTAACCTTAACAGTACTCTAAATTATGGAGAACAGGGTTTGTTAATGTATCCATTTACCACGTAGGAGGCTTTAGAGTTATTTAAAACACTACACAGTAGGTAGAAGTATGGATTTATATACAAATTATCTGGATATTTTGACAATTCGCTTAATTGTGCTTCTTTTTAAATGTGTTTATAAATCAGAGTAAACTTACTGAATTGTACAGTTTCTATTACAAACCTACTAAGTTTTCTGATTGTATTGTATAATTTCTCTTCCTCAAAGGATATTATGTGAAACCGTAAAGGACTTCGTTGCCAAAGTAGAGAAGGCATATGACAGATCATTGGAAAATGCAGTTGTAGCGGACGCCGTGGCCAGTAAAGTAAGAGGGACACATCAGGGCATGCAAGTTATTTACTGACAATGTTAACATTGAATTGTATTTTAAAACTAAATGGATTCCATGGTTTCTTTGCCAAAACATCTAAAGAAAAATTACTTTTATTAGGCTGTGAGGATTTTTAAAATACTCTAATTTATGGTTACCTTGTAATGCTGCATCCTGGAAACAAACCATCATCAAACCAAATTTTATAGTTCAAATCCCTCTCCCAGTGTTTGACATCTTGCCAGGTGATGTACAGCAATCAGGCCACAGGGAAGAATGCTGCACAACTGGTGTTCCAGTGGGTAGAGGAACAGTTTTCTATTTCCAAGCAAACTTTGGCTGGTCCATTACTCTCCTAGCACAGGTCTTTGGATTCACTAGACCTTGTTCTCTTTACAGATTCCACCCTGCTTCATTAGCTTTCTGATGCTAAAATAACAATAGTTTAATTATCTTAAAAGCCACTGTTTTTACTTTTATAAGTTCATCAGAGGACCTTCTTACAAAAGGATTGGAAATCTTGGGCTTGCAAAGGACTTCACTCTCCCAGATTCATGCTTTAGATGGTAGTTTAATTGGGTAGAAGGAAAAGAAAAGGGAACTAAACATGCATTTGAACCATTCAGCCACTTTCCCTACTCTATGGGGTTTCAGAAAATGGGAATCCTTTCTTAGCCATATTTTTGTCTCTAAACTCTTTGTACCAGAGCTCTGTCTCAGCATGTCACCAAAGATAAACAATGGAGAGGAAAAGGACTGGAAATTGTGTGGAGAGAAAAGCATTCATGGCTACAGTCTGTTGATCTATTTTCCATCTCCACTAAAATTTAAATTAGGTGCTTCTTGAATCAAAACATCTACAGAATAAAAGATGATAGCCAATTGAATTTTAGAGTTTTTCTCTCTAGTGATTAAACATTCAAAACATCTTACATAAAAAATTCTTCCATCTTGTCTGCTGATGTTACTTCCATTTGAATTTCTCCCTCCTTTCCCTGTTTTTTGTTTTCTCAGTGTTCAGTCCTAAATGAGAAGCTTGAACAACTGCTACAAGTTTTGCACACAGAGCCCCAGCCTGATCCTGTCCTCTCCGCTGTCAGCCCTGTCGTCATAGAAGAAGATACTGTGGAATCTTCAAGTGAAGAATCCCTGGGCGAATGCAAGGACCAGCTCTCAGATGACATTACAAAGCCTTCCTCACAAGGAGCCATCAAACCCAGGGAAATAATGTTGCGGGCAAACAGTTTAAAGAAAGCAGTGAGACAAGTCATTGAAGAAGCCGGAAAAGGTACATGATAACAAAATTAGCATTAGAAGAAGTTGGCAGCATAGCTATTGCATGTGTGAGGGAGTTTTCACAACGGTCAAATTGGACGCACTTGAAAAAAGAATTGTATTTTTTTTTGAAAAAAATGTTTTTAAGACACCATAGAAGATAAATCTACTAAAAGGAAATTGTACTGGTCCTGTTTATTGTTTTGGTAATAAAGATCAGCACATTAATGATGTATAACATAAAATCTCAGAAATAAATTAAGCTAAAACATTACTGTCTTAAATAGAAAAATAATTTAATTAACATTTCCAAAATTTTAAATATTTTTCACTTAGTTGGAATATATCAAATTCTTATAGAAAATCAAATCTGTAAACTACTTGAATATGTAGAAAATGTCTTCTTAACATTAATTTCCTTAAGTGTTTGAATGTTTGTTGCTTTATAAAGCATATATAAAAACTCTGCCTATACGTCAATTTTTTATATTAATATATACGATTCTTTTAGAATTTTAGTAGTAGACTAAAAATTAATTAAAATTAATTTGAATATGATTAATGTTCAAAAATCCATTTACATATTTACATGTTGTAACTTGTAATTGGACTTGTATTTCCCTGAAATTCTTACATATTTTTAATTCTGGTAAATATGTAATTTTAGCAACTTTATTTAGTTTCATAATCTCTGGTACTTACAGGCATCACTCCCAAACTTATTTCTAAATGGTGTTTAGTTGTGAGTACAAAGTATCTTTTGGTATATGTTTCAGTTTTACTTTCCTATGCATATCTTTAATGTAGGATAGACTTTATTTTCATTATCCAAACATGTTTGTCTTCTTTCTACTTAGTTATGGATGAGCAGATGGTTCATTCCTGTGAACCAGTTAATCAATTATCTGACTGCAACAATACAGAAATAAGTGAATCTACTGATGATGATACCAAAGAGTTGTTAACTGGTAAGAAAACAATAACATCATTTGGAATTAAATAATATGTGAATTTTCTTTTAACTATTTGCATTTTTATTTCTGAAAGGCTTTTTGGCAGTTAAGCTTAGATATACATGAATGCTAAAATAATAAAGGTAATAGATTACTTAAATTGTTGCCAAATTCCTCTCTTATCATGTATTCTAGAGATAAGCCAAGGATTACAGAACTAGAGATGATTAAATATCTTGGTTTTCCTGAAGAAAAGGGAAGAAACACCTAAATCATTCAGCTTTAAGCTGTTTTAGCTCTCAGATTCCTTTGAGAATTGTAAGAAAGCCACAGGCCTCACAAGCACAAAATTTAGCCTTTAAATTATTCAGCAGTCTCCTAATATCATTGATCAACCGTCTAGTTTGATAATCCTTATTACTAAATTAAGCTTTAAAATCACAGCACATCTAGTTACAACCCTTTCTTTACCAAAATTCATTTTGCCAGGAAATTAAGAATATTACAATTTCTCTGCCTTTTAGCATTTAATTGAGGATGAATTTATACTTTTACATTGCCAAAGCAAAAAGTTTCTAATTTATTGAGATAATACAAAAGAGAAATTATAATAATAATAAAGATATTAAGATGATGCACATATTAATGTACTCATGAAAGGTCAACATAATTATGTGAGAACTATTTACATTCAAAAATTTATTAACTTTTTGATTTTAGTTTCTTTATATATAAATTTGGTCATATTAACCTCTCTGTCGCTTTTTCATCTGTAAGATAAAGATAATAACATGCCAGTTTCATTGGGTTGTTGTGAAGGTTAAATAAGTTACTGTATATAAAGTGCCCAGCATTATGTACACAGTATGGATGTTTGCTGTCATCATTATTATTTATTTTTTATTGATGCTTCTGCTAATTACTTTAACTTTGAAAGAGCATTCTTTAATTGTACTTAAACTACTTGGACTTTGAAATTTGACTTTCTGAATCACTGATGTTGAATATACAACTCAATCCATACTCTAGAACTCTCTTGACAGAGGATCACTCTATCTTAAATAGAAAAATCATGTAATCATGTTAATTATTTAATTATGATTATGATTGGCTGTAATTGTATTCTTTACTTGAAGCTTTCTGTTTTCTCTCTTAAATTTCAACCCATGATTATAGATGTTCTTAGGTTTTATGTATGATGATGTTGACCATGACAACCACTGGCATTTGTCTAATGCTTTGTGATTGTTTTAAAAAGCAATATCACACTTGATATATCACTGTATTGGAGATGAATCTGCCTTCTAGAGCCATGTCTTATTCTTCTTTCATGTGGCAGCCCTTAAATGATACTGAAAATAGCTTTTATGGCACCATGTCCCCTTGTCACATCTTATGTTTCCTCTTGCAAATGACCTGTGCTAAGTTTTTCTTCCAGATTTTAACTTAAGAATTTCAATCCTCTTGTTTTTTTGGTTATATCCATTAACATGGATGCATGTTAGATAATTTCTGTTAAGTAATAGCACGTTGATACTCAAACACTACTAACTGTACACTTTGGGTGTTTACAAAGATTATAGTAGTTTATACTCATTCCTATTTTGGATCTATAATTTCATCCTGTCAAAATGTTTTGAAGGTTGATTCTATCGTCTCAGGTTTTTCTCATCTGTGAATTTGATAAGCAGGCCCATAGATATTATCATCTATTAAAAAGTATCAACTAAAGCCAGGTTGGCAATGGCATATTGACAGTCAGACTGAATAATTTTCCCCAAGATTACATCTGTCTCTGAGGATTGGTTTGTTAACAGTCATGAATGGTCTTCTAGCCAGCCATCATCCCCCCTTTTCATATTATCATAAACTCAAAACTTTCATTGTACTTAAAGCAATCTAAAATATACAACTATAGTGCTATAGATATTGATATTGAGATAAACATAAATTTAGAAAAGTCTTTAATGTTGCAGCATTTGATCTTAATTTTGGCTAGTGACCCAACTTACTGGAAACTAGCCCAGGAGGAGAAGTGTTTCTGTATTCAGTAATCATTATCTTTGTTGAAGCACTCTCATTTTATCGTTATTAAATTATATAATAATTCATATGTCTGAGATGTAAGAAATATATTAATATAATCAATGACATGCTTTATTTAAGAAGAACTATGAATCACTAATTTAATTACCTGCAGTGGAACATCAGTCTTAGTCATTAGTACACTGTCTGTTCTCTATCAGAAATGAACATCAAAAAGTTCTTTTATTAAAAATTAGCCTCAGGAGTTCTGTTTAAAACAAAAAAGAGTGACTATTCTGTTACTTTTAGTACAGCTGGACTGTTTTGAATAGAATAGAGTGTAAGATTAATATAGTTAATTTGTAATTAGTCTGAGAGAGAGTGAAGATAATTAAGTTTTAGAGTACTTTTAAATTGAATTTGCAGAGTACTGTTTCCCCCCCCCTTAGGAAAAAATACCAACCAAAAGCCCCTAAATTAGTTAAAGGTACCATTTGCTCTCTGTTAAATTGCCTCAGTTTAGATAGAATTAAATCTTCCCTTTTGTTGTTTTCTTTGAGAGTAATTGTGTTTTGGAATAATTTTTGGAATGTTTTGAGCTTTTACGAGAATATAATAGAGCCATTTGGGACAAATCCATCATTTTGAATAAATAATTGAGGCAGGAAAAAGTATATTGATTTCATTTGAAACTACTATTTTTTCTTCCATTTTTAGAAGACAATGTTAACTTGTGTTTCACACGTTAGTTCTGAAAATTAATTAAATGTGATCAGATACTCAGTATTTATGAGAAAAGTTGGTGTTGGTAGCTTATTTTATAACACATATGTTCCATTTTCAAAATCATCAGTCTTCAAATTCTCTACTTATCTTTAAGTGTAGGTTACATTCAATTTATGAGTATTACTGAATTTTAATTATAGTAGATATCTATTTTCTATTGATCTCCATGTATTTAAGATCAGAGATCAAGACATCTACCTTGACAGATATCCTCTTTGTTTCAAGAAAATTAAAATGGTAAAAGAATAGTTAAATACAATTAATATTCTCTGTTCCACTGATTGATTTAAAGAGAGATTCGATTATTTCATGTCTTGCTAAATTTTATGCCTTCGTCATTTTCTCTTTTTAATCTGGACTTCTTTCTTGCCAACAGTTAAAACTTCACCTCAGTCTCCAGATGCCAGGGCATGTCGTGGCAATTCTCAACCTGATTCTGTCCCTGGTCCAGCTGTCACAGCCACCAAAGAAAATCTCCCTGTGCTCAATACTAGAATAATCTGCCCAGGTATTACAGATTCTGAAAGTGGTGCATTTTTAAGCTTTTCTGTGAAGCTGTGTAAATACTTATTTCCATGAAATATAGAAATGTGTTCTCAAAGGTAAATGTTCTTTTAGGAGAGTGTTTATAGTATATATTCTAGTGATAATTGCTTTGTTTTTGAACATCTGAAACATCTATTTCAGCCCTGATGAAGTAAAGTTGCTTGGATTAGGCTAGTAGTAGAGAAACCAAATGATTATAGGTAAGAGATGGAGGAAAATATATGTGTTTCCAAGGTCTCCTTAAATGCCAGTTGTTTGACTTAATAAACATTCTTCAGCTTCATTCAGAGTAGGTTGGAATCTAAGTTAGACTCTGAAAACCAGAGTCTCAAACGTGTTCTTTTGAAAGATGAATCATAATTCAATAATAAAGTTGAAGACTTTGGCACCTCACTTCCAATAGTGAGTAGAACTAGATAGAAGATCAACAAGGAAATAGAATACTTGACACATAAAACAAATAGACCTGACAGATGTCTAAGAACACTCTACCTAACTACAGCAGAATACACATTCTTCTTAAGTGTTTGTAGAACATTCTCAAGGATAGACTGCATACTAGGCTATAAAATATTTCTCAATAAAACAAAAAGGGTTAAAACACACAAAATATTTTTCCTGCCACAATGAAATGAAAGTGGAAATTGATGAGAAGATGAAATTTAGGAAATGTACTAATATGTGGAAATATGTAGGTCAAAAAAAATTACAAAGGAAATTTAGACCAAATTTTTTTAGATGAGTGAAAACAAGAATATACCATACCAAAACTTGTTTGATACAGCTTAAACATACTTAGAGGTGAAATTTAGAGCTGTATATGCCTAGATTGAAAAAGTAGAACTATCTCAAATCAATAACCTTAATAACTTGGAAAAAGAAGAGGAAACTAAATCCAAGCAAACAGGAGACAGCAAGTAATAAAGACTATAGTGGAAATAAACTAGAAAATAGAAAAATCAGTACAGAAAATAAGCAAAACTAAAAGTTGGTTCTGTGACAAGTTCAACAAAATAGACATATCTTTAGCCAAGTGAAAGCAAAAATGAGACAAGATTGAAATTACTAAAAATCAGGAATGAAAGAGGAAACATCATAGTAGACATTGTAGAAATCCAAAGGATTATAAATTAGACAGCCTGGGTAAAATAGATAAATGCATAGAAATACACAAATGTCTACCAAAACTGATTTAAGATGAAATAGAAAATCTGACTAAACTCGTAACAAGATAATGAATTACTCAGTACTAATTTGGAAAAAAAAATTCTACAAAGAAAAGCCAAGCTCAAATTGCATCACTGGTGAAGCCTACCAAATGTTTTCAAATGAATAAACACCAGCCTTTTGCAAACTCTTCCAAAAAATAGAAGAGAAAGGAATACCTCCCAACTCATTCTATGAGACCCATATTACCTTGATACCAAAAAACAAAGACATCACAAGAAAATGCAGAACAATATCCCTTGTGAATATTGACACAAAAATCTGAAAAAAATACTAGCTAACTAAATCCAACAACATATCAAAAGATTTATACACCATAACCAAGTATGATTCCTTTGATGTGAGATCGAATCAATATATGAAAATATAAAATGTAATAAACCATATTAATGGAATAAAGGACAAAAACCACATAGTCATATCAATAGACTTGGAAAAAAATTTTTTTAAATCCAACATCCTCTCAAAGTAAAAATGCTTGAAAAACCAGGAAAAGGAGGAAACTTCTTTCTTTATGGTAAAGGGCATCTGTTATGCTTGTGTTGATGCAGGAAAGTTCAGGTGTAAAATGATTCGACTGTGAGAACTGTAACCTAATTGGTGCATCCTAGTTTAGGTGGATGACTGGGTGGTGACTCTAGGCAAGTAGGAAGTGCCTGGAGAAGGTGGATCACTGGGGGGTATACCTTGGAAGGGTTCCTCTTCTCTGCAGCACTTCCTCCCTTTCTATCTTTGCTTCTGCGCGCGCACACACACACACACCCTGCCATGATCCAGAGAAGCTTTCCACAGCTGAGCCCTTTTGCCATGATGTTCTGCCTTATTTTAGGCCAAGAGCAATGGAGCTGGCAGTCTGTGGACTGAGACTTCTGAAACCATGAGCTCTAAATAAAACTTTTCCTCCTTTAAGTTGTTTTTGTCAGGTATTTTGGTCACAGCACGAAAGCTTAGTAAAGTAGCATCTATGAAAAACCCACAATGGACATCTTACTTAATGGGGAAAAGCTGAAAGCCTTCCCAAAGATCAGGAATAAGATAAGAATGTGCAGTCTTGCCACTGCCATCAATATCGTACCAGGGATTCTAGCCTTGGCAGTTAGACGAAATAAAAAGAATTCAAGGCATCCAGATTAAAAGGAAGAAGGAGAATTGTATGTCTTCATTAATTGCTCTTTCGTATAGAAAATCCTAAGGGATACACAACACACACATACATACACACACACAAAAAAATAGTGAAAGCTAATAAATAAATATAACAATAAAAAGATAAAAAGATCAGTATGCAAAAGTTGTATTTCTATAATTATATTTTTATATACTGTAAGTGAGCAACCTGAATATGAAATTAAGAAAAATTCATTTATAGTTGCATCAAAAATAAATTTAACCAAAAAAGTAAAAGACGCAAACTCTGAAAGCTAGAAAGCATGGCTGAAAGAATTTAAAGAAGACCTAACTAAATGGACTCACATCTAAGTTCATGTGTTGGAGACTAAATATTATTGAGATGGCAATATTGTGTTCAACCACAGTTCAACTACAGGTTGAACACAATTGCTGTCAAAAATCCCCACTGTTAATTTGAAGAAACTGACAAACCAATTTTTAAATTCATATGGAAATGTAAAAGACCCAGACTAGGCAAAATAATCTTAAAGAACAAAGTTGAAGGGGATACATTTCCCAATTTTAAAAAAAAGTTACATCATACTAGAATAAGTGCATTATATAAATCAATGAAGTAGATCTGAAAGTCCAAAAATAAATTCCTATATTTATGTTAATTTCAACAAGTGTAGAAAGACAATTCAATGGAGAAAGAATAGCCTTTTCCACCATTGGTATTGGGAATGACTAGATTTTACATGTAAAGATGAAGTTGGACCCAAGGGCTAAAAAGCTACGATAAAGACAGCAAAGGCATAAATGTTCATAACATAATGGTCTCTTGGATATAACAAGAAGCAGAAGTAGCAAAAGGAAAAGCTAGCCAGGTGCAGAGGTAATCTTTAAGTTGTTTTTGTCAGGTATTTTGGTCACCTGTAATCCCAGTGACTCAGGAAGCTAAGGCATGAGGGTCACGTTCAAGGCCAGCCTGGGCAACTAATGAGACCCTGTCTTAAAATAAAAAGGGCTGAGGATGAAGTTAAGTGGTAGAGTGGTCCTGGGTTCACTCTGCAGACCTGGGACAGAGCTGGGGGAGGAGAAAGGAAAAAAAAAAATGTGATTCAAAGGACACTACCAAGAGAGTAAAGTGAGAACTCAGGCATTTACAGATGATATATCAAAAGGGACTATTATCCACAATATATAAATAAATCTAAAAATTCAACAATGAAAGACAAATGTCCCAATTTTAAAATGAGACAGGTATCTGAATAGATAGTCTCCCAAAGAAAATACACAAATAACGAATAACCGATAAGCACATGAGAGGATGTTCAGTGTGATTAATCATCAGGGGATTGTAAGTAAATGCCACAATGAGGTATCCCCTTCAGGTGGCTGTGATCAAAAGAGGCTGAAGGGCAGGGAGTATAGTGAAACTCAGTTGTGGAGCACTTGCCTGGCTTGGCCCCGGGTTCAGTCCCCCACTCCTGAAAATATCCTAAAAACAGAAAACAAACCAACAAAAACCAGACAATAAAGAATATCGGCAAAGATATAAAGAAACTGAAATGTTTGTACATTGCTGGTAGATGCATAAGATAGTGCAGTCATTTCAAAAAACAGTTTGATAGTTCCTCCTAAAACTAAACATTGAGTTAATATATAACCCAGATAACCCAACAATTCCACTACTGTACATATACCTAAGAAAATTGAAAAACTTGAACATGACTACCTCTGGCCACATTCACAATATCCCCAAATTGGAAACAACATATAAAGCATCAGTTATTGGATAAGCAAAAAGTAGTAAAGTCATACACTGGATTTGGACTTTAAAATAAAAATGAACATGGCCAAATATTACATGATTCTATTTACATGAAATGTGCAGAATAGTCAAACTCATAGGTATACAAAGTAGAGTAGTGGTGTCTAGGAACTGGAAAGTGATGGCTAAGGTACAGGGTTTCTTTTGCATATAATGAAAAAAGTTACAGAACTAGATGGCAGTGTTGGTTGTACGATTTTGTGCATGTGCTACAAACAGCTAAATTATTTAAAAACTTCAAAGAGTGTATTTTATGATGTATGAATTGTATCACCGTAATACATTGAAAGAAAGAAAGATAATTCCAGAACTTGCCTGGCTTTGGCATAGAAGTCATATTTTCATTCTCTCCAGGAACACAGGGATGGCCCTGCTGGGCTGGAGCTCTAATGTTATCTTGAGACATTTTAGAGAATACTACGCCTGCCTGTGGGGTGTGAGAACTTCTCTAGATTGTTCTTTACTCTCACCATATTTGTTGTTTTTTTATTTCCATGTTTAGACATAAAAGGAAAATGATATAGTAAAGCATCACATAGAATATTCAAGACTATGAAAATTAAAACTCATCCTGATAATTTGATACTCTGGAAAAAATTACTAATTAAAATAATGAATAATAATATCCTCTAAGAAGAGCTCACTGTTGAGGGAAGGAAGGCTTGCCAAAGAAAGGACTTGTTTTTCTCATTTCCTAGTGGTTCTTGTTTTTGTTCACCCTTCTGTCCTTTCTTGTTTGTTCTCTTGGCCCATATTACTTTGTCTTCTCTGCAGACTTTGGTGTTTCCAACCTTATATTAGGTTGAGTAGAGCATAAAATTTATTAGCTTTGAATGCCATGAGTTAGTGGAAAGAATGTTGAAATCAATTGGGGCTTTTGCATATTCTGAATATGCAGAGGTAAGATAGGTGCTTTATTTTTTATGTTCAATACTATATTCTTCTAAAATTCATAAATACCTGCATTTCGTATTTTACTACTTATTCTTGACAGTAACACTATTTACTTTAATACACCTCCTAACATTTTAAATTATTATTATCTACACTTTTGAGAGTATAAAGGTGGTAACTCCATGATATTTTGGGCAATTCAGGCTTTATTTTAAATTCCTCATAGACTTATTACATTATTTGCTATAATAGAGAAGTAATATGTATTTATTTGTTGAAATTATAGAATTGCTAGGATGGTAAGAGAAAATGTCATGAAGAGACTTTTGTTAATATCCTCATCTCGTCAATTCTTTATGAGAACATATAGATACTTGGAAGCACCAAAAACTTTATAGTCATAAATTTCATAGTTCTTAGTTTGGGTTAATAAGATGAATAGGCACTGAAAACCATATTCTAGGAGCAAGATGTTTGTGATTAGGCATGAATTGACTGGTTGTTTCTCTTTTTCCTTAACATGTGATGCTTTATGTATTTTCTGTTCAGGTTTAAGAGCAGGACTAGCTGCTTCAATTGCTGGGAGTTCCATTATCAACAAAATGTTACTAGCAAATATCGATCCTTTTGGTGCAACGCCATTTATTGACCCAGATCTAGATTCAGTGTAAGAAAATGTTTTTGCAATTATTTTTCTTTTGGCTTTTCTTATTTCTTCATAATGTGAATTATTGCATATATGTATCGTGATGTGTGGCTCCATATATAAAAAGAGTGATCAGAAAATTTGGAAAGTTGATAATAATAGGCACATTAAGCCCTTGGAAATTCAGTGATGTCTCTGGTCTGTCCAGAGGCAGTCACTTTCCCACCTGTTCTCCTCCAGAGCACGTTCTGGCAGAGGAAGCACAGGTCTGCTCACTTCTCTCTGGAGGCTCTCACTTATCAGGTGCCTTTACACCTGTGTTTCTGCTGTTCCCTTTCCCTTCTTTCTTCTCAGTCTTGCCAAATCTGCCATCTTTTCATACCCAGCTCTTAGATTTTCTTATTTTGGGAGCTTTTATCACATACTGACCTCTTCCCTTCTCAACATTTCTATATTTTTAGCAACTCAAGTTATACTTTTCTTGGGCGGGGGTTGTGACTCAGTGGTAGCACACTCGTCTGGCATGTGTGAGGCACTGGGGCACATGTTTGATCCTCAGCACCACATATAAATAAACAAACAAACAAATAAATGTATTGTGTCCATATACAACTAAAAAAATATTTTTTTACAAAAGATATATTTTTTCTTTCCATTTGGCCTTTGTTATATCACACTCCATAATGACATTCTTCAAAGTACCATATTTTGAACTTCCAACAGTACTTAGAAGAATGGATTGACTCTAGTAGCTTTTTATGCAAATATTTTCCCATTGTTAAGAGTCAAAGGGGAGAAGACTTTCTAATGGTTGAAAAGAGGAGTAAGGCCACCTAACTACCAGGCTCTTCCCATAACCGTCTTCACCTATCTGGTAGCAAGAGACTTATAGAGAAAATAGAAGGACTGTGACTTTGTTAAATTTAATAGAAAACAATCCATTACTTTGTCTCTGCTTTTCCTTGCCCTTTATATCACATGTACCAAAAATTGTACACATGTACTATGGCTATGCACATGGCATATGTATATAGGAAGTAATTCCTACCGAGCTTTACAATCTTCTGTAAGGAGTAGAAGCTTAACTGATTTTAAGTGCTGTTTTGTGAACAAATTTAATTGTTGTAATGAACCTGAAATTAACCTTTATGTACTTTTCCTTATTGTCGCAGAGATGGATATTCAGAAAAATGTGTCATGAACAATTACTTTGGGATTGGATTGGATGCAAAAATTTCATTAGAATTTAATAATAAGAGAGAGGAGCACCCTGAAAAATACAGGTAATTTTGAAAATAATGTTATCACCTGAAGGCGGTTTTTACTTTAATTTTATTCATTTCTTTTGCTTGTTCTGCCTTCATGGAGTAAAATTTCCTGAGATGTCCACGGATATTTATTTTTAGGAGCCGAACTAAAAACTTGATGTGGTATGGAGTCCTTGGGACCAGGGAATTATTACAGAGATCATACAAAAATTTAGAACAAAGAGTTCAACTTGAGGTAAGTTCATGTTAAAGTAAAGACATTTCACATTATCTTATTTAGAAAAATAATTTCATCTGTAGGGCTAATATGACCTAAATTCCCCTTGATTAGTGATTAAATGTTCAGGAGGAAAAAAGATCAAGGGAGTGACTTTTTGCTAACGTAGGTATAAACACTGGACATGAACCCACACTTCACCATTGTTGTCATTAGCTCCTGAAAGTGGAGTCGCAGTGCCCATGAAAATGTGGAGTCATGGGAGTACATTTATAGGATAGGGTTTTTAGTGGACTTTCTCATTTCAGTTTCCCAGTTCTGACTCAGTTCTGTAATACCCAGAGTTTCACAAATCCCTTAAAATAACTTTTATACTAAGTACAGTCTTTTAATTTAAAATATGTATTTATTTTTGTTCCAATTATTTCTAATAGCAAGTCAGTGAAAGAAAAAGATTTTGAGCATTAGGGTTTTTTTTCCACTATTTTTTACTGATTTAAATAGGAAATTAAAAGATTTTAAGTCTTCTTTGATCACAGAAAAAAAATAAAAAAGGTTGGGGACATAGCTCAGCAAAGTCAGTTGAACTGTGAATTTCATTTTCTTCTACCCTTGGTTCAGTCTCACTGTTTATGATGACAGGTGTGTCTTTTGTATCTTGTATCCTTTTATAACCAGATATTTTTAAAATATATCATTTAGTTGATAGCAATTGAGCCAGGCACCTCTTTAGTTCATATTCTTGTTATGATAACACTTAAAATAACAATGCTTGGTTTGATTTACTGATCAGAATATTTCATACTTAAGATTTGTATATTTTTCTGTATGTATGATATACTTTTAAAAGCATTGGGTTTGGGCGGGGAGGAGAGGTTTGTTGTTGTTGTTTATCTTAACACTGGAATGTGGACTAAAGAGGTACATGGCTCAGTTATTATCAACTGAATGTTATAGTGAAGATAAAGACTTCCACTCTAAACTTATAACTATGCTTGTTAAATTAACGTAGAGATAACCAAATGAAAAGGCACACTCATACATTGCTGGTAGGACTGCAAATTGGTGCAGCCAATATGGAAAGCAGTATGGAGATTCCTTGGAAAACTGGGTATGGAATCACCATTTGACTCAATTATCCCACTCCTTGGTTTATACCCAAAGGACATAAAAACAGCATACTACAGGGACACAGCCATATCAATGTTTATAGCAGCACAATTCACAATAGCTAAACTGTGGAACCAACCTAGATGCCCTTCAGTAGATGAATGGATAAAAATAATGTGGTATATATACATAATGGAATATTATTCAGCATTAAAAGAATAAAATCATGGCATTTGCAGGTAAATGAATGAAGCTAGAGAATATAATGCTAAGTGAAATTAGCCAATCCCCCAAAACCAAATGCTGAATAATTTCTCTGATTTGAGGATGCTAATTTATAATATTCTGTGAGTGTGTGTGGGGGGATTAAATGAACTCTTCATAGGGCAAAAAGGGAAAGGGGGAGGGAGGTAATGGGGGGTGGAATAGGGGTAGGAAAGATGGAGGAATGTGATGGTCATCATTACCCTAAGTACATGTAAGAAGACACAAAGGATGTGATTCTGCTGTGTACAACCAGAGATATGAAAAATTGCGCTTTCTATGTATAATATGAATTGTTATATATTCGGCTGTCATATTAACAAATCAAAATTTTTAAAAAAGATGCAAAAATCAGGAAGGATCACATTTTGTAAATGCTATTTTTCACAGCCTCATCACCAGATCAACTTAGATGTCCTCCTGTGTCTTGTGTATTGTAATCCTTCCTTTTCTAATTATGTCTCTAGTTGTTCACACTCCATAAGAACAGGTAGGGAGTTGTGTTTGTTTTCTCCAGTACTTAGCACAGCACCTAGCCCTCTCTTGAGTAAATGAACAGGTAAATGATGATTTAGTGTAATTTGATAAGATGGGGTTATTAAACTCATTATAAATTGAAACTGTAATTCAAAAATGATATAATACCCCTAACCTACCAAGCATCATAGCTTAAGTTTGCCTACCTCAAATGTTACATTAACCTACAGTTGGACAAAATCACATAGCACAAAGCCTGCTTTATATAAAGTGTTGATTATCTGATGTAATGTATTCAGTACTATACTAAAGGGGGAAAACAGAATGATTAGGTATACTTTTACAAACTGTTCTGTGATCAACCCCTATGACTGACCATCTTTAAAGTTTAAAGAGTTATCTGGAATCAGAATGTCTGGTGGGTCTTATTTCCTGCAAGAAACTTGGCTCTACAAACATAGATTTGCCACTTCAACTTGATGCCCAGGTTATTAACAGGATATCTTACTCTTATACAGCTGCTTTTGAACTCCATTTAAAAAGGTTCTGAAGCAGTAGACCCTTTGACATTCTGGTAAAACTCTGGACCCCTTCTACAAATGTTTTTTGAAGTGCATTGTATAAAATACATAGAAACCAATAATATTAAAATAAATTAACAAAAAAATTTGGAAAGAGGAGTACTGGGGATTGAACTCAGGGACACTCCACCACTGAGTCACATCCCAGCCCTATTTTGTATTTTATTTAGAGATAGAGTCTCACTGAGTTGCTTAGCACCTCGCCATTTGTGAGGCTGGCTTTGAACTCTTGATCCTCCTGTCTCAGCCTCCTGAGCCACTGGGATTACAGGCATGCACCACCACGCCAGGCCAAAATATTTTTAAATTGTTTAAAAGTAATGTATGTTTCATTGCCACATCAAGTGAAAATCTAGTGGCATGTCTAATAAATACTATAATTTTAAAGAAATGATGAACATAAATGATATCTGAAACATTTGTAATATACAAAAAAAAAACTGTATTTCTATTGACAGTGAAATTACAGGTATTGCTAATGCCTGTTTATTGTCTACATTTATAACTGAGGACCATGCTAAATTCCAGAGGTTAGTGAACATAAAAGTTTTATTTTTATCATCAAGTTTAACAGTCCCTCTGAAACTATTCATGGACCCTGGGTTTCTGTACCTCAAGTTAAGATCCTTGATATAGAAGTGTATGTTAAATGATACATGAAGAAACAAATTAGTAAAACAAGACATATAAAAACAGAAAAATTAAAAGTAGAGAATTCGCTGGGCCCAGTGGTACACGCCTGTAATCCCAACAGCTCAGGAGGCTGAGATAGGAGGATCACAAGTTCAAAACCAGCCTCACAAATGGTGAGGCACTGAGCAACACAGTCCCTGTCTCTAAATAAAATACAAAATAGTGCTGGGGATGTGGCTCAGTGATCAAATGCCTCTGAGTTCAATCCTCAGTACCCCCCCCCCCCGCCAAAAAAAAGTAGAGAATTCTTTGCCATTTAAAGTAAATGAAGGAACACCTTCTGTGTCCAAAAATAACAGACCATGGAAGGCCTGTTGTCTACAAATTAATTTCCCTGATATGATGGTTCACTTGAGATAAAGGCGAAGAGATAGCCCCATCTTTAGAAGCTCTTTCCAGAGAAATCTCTGCATCAGTGTCAGTCCAGAATATTGTGGTATGAAAGGAGACTGATTTCAAGTCTCAACTTTGAATTTGTGTGGAAGAAAGACTTTGGTTTCTCTGTCTACACAACAAATGAAATAATACTTCTGTGCAAATTATAATTCAGTGAGCTAAGGTATAAGAAATAACAGTGTAAACTGAAAAGAATTCTACATGTATAAATTTTGTTTCCCAAGCCATCAATTTTGGTTCTGAAATACACCCAACTTTCAGAATCATTGACTGAGATTTATAATCTTTTGGGAATGCCAAAAATATAAAATAAAATCACAGTAACACATCTTGCTACTCTTATGATAGAGAAATCCTTGATATTCCTATCTCAGCCTCCCAAGCTGTTGGGATTACAGCTATAAATAGGAAAATCTCATTAAATTTTTAAACATTTTGATTAAGAATGGTTGACTTTTTGCCTATAGTATACCTAACTTACATGTGTCAAGGAGCTTTTCCTATTTATTAACTGAAATAATGATTGCATACTGTTTTGAATCCTTTAAATACTAAGATAAAATGAAGAAAAACAAGTCATTTTTAAAAAACAAGATCCATCTGTAAGCTATAATGAAATAGGTATTGGAGAACAAATATTTGTTTATTTCACATTTTTGGTTACTTAAACTATTTCTGTAATCTGTTTATACTTTGTAAAACCTAAATAAATTTTGGTTATTAGATAGAAATAGTGATTTCTATCTTTGTTTAGTTTACTTCAATAATAATTAGTCATAACTACTGGTTAAATTATTTTATACTAGTTGAATTTTACTGAATTCTGCCTATACCATCACATTTAATTGTTAGAACTTTATGAGTTAGGGCCAAGCCTGCAATCCCTGTGACTTGGGAGGCTGAGGTAGGAGGATTAGAAGTTCAGAGCCAGCTTCAGCAACTTAGCAAGGCCCTGTCTCAAAATGAAAAAATTTTAAAAAGGACTGGGGATGTGGCTCAATGGTTAAGTGCCCAGGGTTCAATCCTGGTACTTTACATGGTAGGTATTGTTATTCAATTCAGAGGAGGAACTTGCCTAAGGTCAAACAGCTGATAACTGAAGGAGCCATCACTTCAAATTCACTGCTTTGTTACCATAAAACAATATGTAATCATGACTAAAGAAGGAAATTCACTGACTTCTGATTATGTGTTCTAGGTGCTTTCCTATACCTCATTTCATTGGCCACACTAAGTGTTAGCAATTATTAACCCATTTAACAGTTGAGCAAAATGAAGCTTTGAAAGTTTAAGGGACTTACTCAAAATACTCAGTGAGAGAATTCAAACCAAGCCCAGGATCTTTCCACTATCTCACATTGCTTGGTCAGAGTAACAGAACAGGACAGATATATTTACAGACAAACACACACACACACACACACACGTACACATCTGTCCTATTCTATACATATACATACATATATATATATATATATATATATATATATATATATTCACACATGCATATACACATATGCAGATACACACACATATGGAGACAGGTATGTATATGCATGTGTATATCTGGAGTCTCATGGCATTTTGCAACATCATGAACCACAAATGGAATGTGGGATGAATGGGACAATTATAAAAGGATATAATACTCCCGAAGTTCTTCCTGAATATAAGAAAGTTTTCGGTCATGTGATGCTAATTTGTCAAATCTGTGCTGCTTGTGTTTTTCCTATGAGACTCCATGACACAGACATTAAGTACTTCACTTGTGTTTTGCTTAATACATAATGGTTACATTTGGCAGTATACATGGCACTTCCTTCTGAAAATGTTCATCTTATTCCATTCATGCTTGCAAATAAAGTGCATCCATTAAACAGTTTTAAAATTACTTCTTTTATATTTACAGAGACAGCATTTTTTCCATTTCCTTTAACTTAGTCATATTAATGAAAACAGCTCTTTCTAAAGCACACAGATACCAGTTTAATGTATTGAATTTAGAAAAAGTTCATTATTCTACTAAGTAATTAATATTCATTTAACAAGTATATATTCAGTACTAGCTATATGCCAGGCATTGGCCCTGAGTGCTGGGTTACAATGTAGACCTGTAAATATTGAATACTCAGCCTGTCTACTGGTTAACACCGTATCTTCGGGAAAGGAAAAGAAATTGTGAAAATCTCATGTAGAGGTAAATAAAACATATGAGGTCTCAATTATACCAGTGGTTGAAAATGGATTCAAACTAGATTCTCATTTATTCTAAATGTTAAAGGCAATTTTGATTGGGCATTAAAATGCCATTTTTATGATGTTAATAATTTTTAATATGAGACTTATTTAATGGAGGTATAGAATCTATTTTAAATATGACATTTGTAAGCTCTTCTCTTTTTAAATAAAGCTTAAGCTGGCATGGTGGCACAGACCTATAGTCTTAGCAACTCAGGAGACTGAAGCAGGAAGGTGGCAAGTTTGAAGACAATCTGGGAAAATAAGTGAGGCTCTGTCTCAAAATAAAATGGACTGTGGGTGTACCTTGGTGGTAGAATGCCCCTGGGTTCAACTACCAGAACTGAGCACGCGCAGGTAGGCACGCGCGCGCGCGCGCACACACACACACACACACACACACACACACCATTTTTTTTTTAAGAGAGATTGGACACACCATCTTTATTTTACTTTTATGTGGTGCTGAGGATCGAACCCAGCGCTCCGCGCATACCAGGCGAGCGCATTACTGCTTGAGCGACATCCCCAGCCCAACCATTTTGAAGTCTTAAAAGATAAAAAAAAAAAAAAAGGTTTAAATCTTTCCATTAAATCAAATGTTCATTTAGTTTCATTAGGTGGCTCGGTTTAAATACTGATTAATTTTTTTTTAGTTGTAAATGGACACAATACCTTTATTTTATTTATTTATTTTTGGTACTGAGCATCAAACCCAGTGCCTCACATGTGCTAGACAGGTGCTCTACCACTGAGCTGCAACCCCAGCCCAAATACTGATTAAATTATTGTGATCATAAAATTTATGTAACATAATTATACTCATTTTCTTGAGTAATTTAAAATATTTTTAATTTATATATAAAAATTATACATGTTAATGGGGTACCATGTTATAGTTTGGTACATGTACATATTGAATAATGTTCAAAACAGGGTAAGCACATGGATTTCCTCAATCATGTATCATTTCTTTGTGGTGAAAACATTCAGTCCCTTTACTGATTATCTCCATCTTAATAGCTGGGCTCTAAGACTTAATAGAGTAAAGCAAACAACATTAATTTAATAAATAACATTTGTGAAAAGGTAACAATTCTGTTTCTACTCAGTAAAACTTATTCACATATATAATTACTTCACCAACGGTATTACTTTTGTCATTGTTGTTTTCATTTAAGTGGTACTTTTCATTTGAGTGAGTAATGAGAAGGCAAGGAGTGTCAGGTGCTTTCCAACAAGCATGTTTTTTGTTTGGCTTTGATTCTGACTCCTTGAAAAACTCAGCTTTAGAGTTTAGCCAGTAACCAGTTCCTTTTAGAGAGGTGTTACCAACGTGGGCTGGACCAGAACCTGCCCTTAAAGAGTTGCTTTCAAAAGGATGCCTAAACTCATAAAGCAAGTGAGAATCTCTCAAGTGGCCGAAAAGGATTCAAGAAAGTTACTGCCTGATTTGAGGGGAAAGAAGAGGGAAAGCATTTATTTCTAAATGCAGTTTTCTGTAGCAGCTTTTATTTATACTTTCAATTTTTTTTCAATTAAGAAAAAAATAAGATAAATGCCTTTGTAATGTGTAGGAATGTACTTACAAGAGAACAAACATAACCAATACATTTTGCTCCCTCACTCTTTGACTTTGGTGTTTTACTATCCTCCAAACTAATGGTGTTGCTCTTGAAGTCTAACCTCTAGGCTTTGTACTTTGCAGTGCGATGGGCAGTATATTCCTCTCCCCAGTTTGCAAGGCATAGCAGTGTTAAACATCCCTAGCTATGCAGGAGGCACTAACTTCTGGGGTGGAACCAAAGAGGATGATGTAAGTAGCAAAATAGAAATAGAGTCTGTTACCTCAACAATGATTCAATTCATGTAATATATTTTAAAGATGTACTTTAAATATTAATTTAATGTCAGAATGTTTTACACAGAGAAGGTATGGGGATAGAATAGATTTGTTCAAGGTTTTATTTAGATAATTTTTCATGGATTTACTCTAAAATTCCTTATTCTGGGATGTAGGTTACAATTTGGGGGGTAAATGCAAAAGCATCTACTTCAGGAAAGTAAATTTAGGATATAAAGAAAGGAAGATCTTGCTTCTTAATTTTATACCTGTATTAGTTTTCTACTGCTGCTATAACAAATTAACACCAATTTAGTAAAAACACAGGTTTACCATCTTACATTTCTATATGGTATAAGTCTGACAAAGTCTCCCTGGGCTAATAAAATCAAGATGTCAGAGGGCTGTGTGACTTTGGAAGCAGTAAGGGAGAATCTGTTTCCTGTCCTTTCAGCTTTTAGAAGCTGCTCATGTTCCTCCCTCAGGTTGGATTTTCATTGCTTCACTCTAGTCACCTTTTCTGCCTTCCTCTTCCATTTTTTAGTGAGCCTTGTGATGACTTTGGGTCTACCCAGAGCATCAGGATAATTTCCCCATCTCAAGGTCCATAATTTAATTACATCAGCAAAATTACTTTTGCCACGTAATTAATCATCAGTTAGAAAGTTTGTTTCCTTGGAAGGAGACCCTCAGAGTTATACAAAAGTACATACAAGAGGAAGTGAGGGGAAAGGGAAAAATAATACAAGGGGGACAAATGAATGCCAGTAGAGGGGGCAGAGAGAGAAAAGGGGAGGGGAGGGGAGGGGAGGGGGGAATAGTAGAGGATAGGAAAGGCAGCAGAACACAACAGACACTAGTATGGCAATATGTAAATCAATGGATGTGTAACTGATGTAATTCTGCAATCTGTATATGGGGTAAAAATGGGAGCTCATAACCCACTTGAATAAAAGTGTGAAATATGAAAAAAAAAAAAGAAAGTTTGTTTCCTGATATTTTCAATGAAAGTTCTCAATTTGGATACTACTTTATGTTGTTTTTTTTTAGAATAATAATTATTTATGACAAAGAAAAAGAGGGGGCAAAAGAGGGAAAGTCATACAGTCTAAATTTAAATTTTTAAGTAATTAATTTTGTGAAAAGGCATCTAACATAAAGAAAAAGAAAGTTTACGTGAATTTTACCACCTGAGGTTTCTGTTTCCATAGTTCAATACCCTAAAAAGTTATTGTATTAAGATACAAGGCACACGTGCATGCTGCTTATAATACCTTGAAAGATCTCCCTTAGAATAACCAAGTGAACTGTATCATAATTTGCATGTTCATTAGCTTTAACCTGATGAAACTGTTTCACCTTTTGGGTTTCTTAGATTTCTAAAAATTACAGACATTACCTTAGCAAAACATCTGAATTATATATGGCAGATGTTTGCTGCATTTATACCAAGATGAATCATTTAAAAATGCATTAGTCCAAACAGTGCTTTATGTAAATGAGTCTTCTATCCCTATGCAAAATCCTTTTTAAAAATTACATTTATTTTAAGCCATCTTCAGTGATTTTTTTTCTTGGATTATCATTTTCTAATGTTTATTTGCTTGTTGCTCACTATTTTTATGTTTCTAAATATAGACAGATAGCAGGGTTTACGTTATTTGATGTACCACTTTACCAAAATGTTCAGTGAAAATGAAACAGTTTTTCCTTTCAGATATTTACTGCACCATCATTTGATGACAAGATCTTGGAAGTTGTTGCAATATTTGATAGCATGCAAATGGCAGTTTCAAGGGTTATTAAGCTGCAGCATCATCGAATAGCCCAGGTTTGTTTCTCTGACTATGCTTCTTGGGCCATGGAGGGCTGGGGGCCGCTATTCCAAATGACAGCTGTCCTGAATATGCTTCTGTATGATATTGACTTTGCTGTCAGGTCAGTTCTTACTGTGTCATCATAAGTGGTTTAGTATAGCATTCCATTCCCACAGAATGGCCTAAATATCAAGCCTGAACACATGCAGAGATTGATGGTCAATTTCTCAGGATGACTTATATTCTAAAACAATGTGTTTTATTTCAGTGCCGCACAGTAAAAATCACCATATTTGGTGATGAGGGAGTCCCAGTGCAGGTGGATGGTGAAGCATGGGTCCAGCCTCCAGGGATTATCAAAATTGTGCACAAAAACAGAGCTCAGATGCTAACAAGGGACAGAGTATGTAACAAAAAAAAAAAATTATTCTGGAATTTTATCAAATTGTTTTTTTTTTTAAATTCTAAATTGTCATGAAAAATAGGAAATGGGAAAGATTTAAATTCTCTTAAATCTGACATTTAAATCATTGTGATTTTAAATATGAACAAATATTCAGTTTTGTTTTAAATTAAATATATTTTTTAAAAGCTTTAGGCTTATATTGAGCAAAAGTACACAGAGGACTCTAATTGTATTCCCACATACATCTTTCTTCCTGTTACACACATATTCCCCTATTATTAATATTTTGCATTAGTGTGGTACTTTTTTTACAACTGATAAGCCAATATTAATATGTTATTAACTAAAATCCTAGTTCACATTACTCTGTGTTGTGTACCAAGGAGTTTTGACTTGTATCCACCATTATAGTGTCATGCAGATAGTTTTACAGCCTAAAACCCCTTAGGTCCACCTATGCATCTGTCCTCCCTTATTACTGGAAACCACTGATCTTTTTACTGTCTCCATTAGTTTTGTCTTCCCTATAGTATATATTTTTAATTAAGGTCAACCCTTAACAAATAAGACTGACAATATTCATGCTATCTAGTAAAATAGTTAAGATAAAATAGCAAAGTAAAATAAAATGGTAAAGATTGAAGCATAAATTGAAGAAATAAACATTGAAACTTAAAGTCTTTTTATGTTCAGTGATATATTTATCCTTATCGATCACATTACTCTTTTTTTTGGTGTGATACATTGGAAAACTTTAAAATGTCTTGTTTCCTGTTTGTGTTTTATTGAGTCAGGTGTTATAGAAAAAGAAAGCATAGTTTCAAAGATTTTCATATAATGTCTAAATACACATTTATCTGAGTCTCAGGGCTGTTACACAAAACATTCACTGCAATACTACTTTTAAACAGGCCTTTGAAAGCACTCTAAAATCTTGGGAAGATAAACAGAAGTGTGACACTGGTAAAACAGTTCTTCGAACCCATTTGTTCATCCAACATGCCGTTGACCTGGCAACAGAAGAGGTGTCGCAGATGCAGCTGTGCTCCCAGGCTGCAGAAGAGCTTATTACTAGGTAGGAGGTTCTGCCGGCTTTCCAGACCATGAGAACTCTAGTCTTAGCAAGTTTTGTTTTTTAATTTGTAGTTTTAGTTGCTTGTAGAATCAAAAAGGGGTGCATTTGCTGCCTCATGTTTGCCTCTATAATTGCCACTCTCCTTTATCAAGTCCTCAGACCAGATCTTATACTTCTGAAAACATGATTAATTTACCCTGCCACATAATACTCTCTTTTACATATGATCTTCACACTCTATTATTCACTTGCATATTGCCTTATAATTATTAATTAAATGTTCATGGAACGTAGAAAGAAGCCCAAACATTAACCCTATTCCCAAAGAGAGTCAGATTATTTAAAATAAAAAGAAAAGAGTCCCTAGAACCAGTTTCTAACAAGTATGCAACAGAATTTAGAGAACACACAAAAATTAATTTTTGGTAGACAGAAAGGGAAGAGATAAGACATAGGTACTGAGTATAAAATACATGAAAATCACTAGAACCAGAAGTGAGCTTCAGAGAAGAAAGACTTCTTGACTTCTCTTCACCTAAATCTTCTCTACCACATGGATATAAATGGAGCTATTTTACTGTGAAGATTATATAATACCTGAAAGGTAAAGCACATCATGTCCAGCTCTACTTTTGGGGTATCATATGATATCTATAATATGATATAATTAGAGGATGTGACAGGTTCCAAGTTGGACTAAAGATTTTAAATTACATTACAAATATTGAGGAAGAGATTTCAGTTGCCAAGTAGAAATGGTCATCGGAACATTAATTCTTTCCCATTCTTTGAAAATTAGGAAAACATTTACCCAAATCTGTTCTTTTGATAAATTATCTATTCTCCATGGTTGCTCAACATTATTGATGCTATAATGCTGAGATTCATTTGTAGGTTCCTTTATAATTTGTATACCAATTGCAAGATCCTTAAGAATTAAATTCTTCTCTTACTCCTGATTCAAGTGTGTAGGACTTCTGATATTTTTCTGTTCTTTCTAGATTAAAGATCTTTCTCCTTGAAGATGTCAGAAGCAAAAAGTATTTGCCTACTCTTGCCTTCTTTCTCATCTGCAAACTTTGCATTATTTTCTGATAAACTTTTCCTCCTTCCTTTTCTTTGCCTTGGGGACTTCTAGGATTTTTGCTTTCCAGAAACCATTCTTAGAGGTTTGACTACTCGAGGAGTGTGGCACAACAGGCTTTGGAGTTGAATGGAAGTAGATCCTGGCTCTATCACTTATTAGCTCTGTACATACACTCAATCTCTCTGAGCCTCAACATCTTCATCCATGAAGTGGAGAAAACTAACCATAGCTACCCCTTAAAGTTGTGAACATTAAATTAGATAATGCTTGTAAAGCACTTAGTATACAGATGATATATATGTTCCCCTAATTTGTATACAGATGATATATATGTTGAATTTGAAGTTTCAATAAGTAAAAGTTTCTATTCTATATTTGTGATTCCTCTCTTTCCAATGATACTGCCAAATGAAGTATCACTCCATTTTGTTAGTAGCACTTCAAAATGCTTATTTCTGATTATGAACCTAACATTTTACATAAAGAGTTTTTAATTTTTTTGTTGCAATGAGGTCTACATTTTATAAATATATCCTGTGCCCTTCATTATTAAGCAGCCATTTAAAACTTTTTTTTTCCTTGCTGATCTTTATAGGTTATTTTTTTCCCAACTACTTCTGTACTCCAGGAAAAAAAAATCAGCAATGCCCCCAAAGTTTTTTGCTCACTTGTTTTGTTTTCATTTTTAGGATTTGTGACGCAGCCACAATTCACTGTCTTCTGGAACAAGAACTGGCCCATGCGGTGAATGCATGCTCACATGCACTGAATAAAGCCAACCCAAGGTGCCCGGAGGTGAGGATCTCATGGTAAATTCTCATTCCATGGATTCTTTTGGTATTACACATATGATCTTAATGCTGTAAAATATGCCACATCCTGTGAAATAAAATGATGTAGTCCATATGAGTTTCTACCAGAAGCTTTTGGGAAATTTGTCAACAAATTTTTTTATTTTCCTTTTTCTCCCATGTTTTTCACTCCTGTCCTTCAGTTCTCCCCATTTTTTTCTATTTCACTTTCAGTCATTTGCCACCTTCCTTCAAGTGTTTCTCCTTTTAACTTCTATCATCTTTCCTTAGTCCTTTCATATCTTCTCTCCTGCACCTTAATCAAGGCCAGACTTAAAAATCAGTGTGCATTCTGTTAGAGATGTTTGCTCACTTTTGAAATTGTGCACTGAAATTACTCCTACTTCATTTTGTTTTGCTGAATTTTAAGTTGATACTTATGTAAAATTTTTAATGCAGAAGTTAAATAATAGAAGAGAGAACATAACTATCTTAAATTGTAAAACACAGTACAATGGTATAGTATAGAGAAAACTGATAGTGTTATTCTTGTAAGTAAATTGAAATTTCTTAAATTAGCATTTAAGTAAATGCTAGTTCTCAAGATTACAAATATAAAAAGCAATTTGATTGAAAGTGAAAGTCAGTAAATAGACCTAACTAGAGTTGACACTGAACAGCAAATGGGTGAAGGGTGAAGGGTACCAACTCCCATACACAGTCAAAATTCTGTGTTTAATTTTTGACTCCCTAAAAGCTTACCTCTTAATAGCCTGCTGTTGACTTACATCAAAAGCCAATTCACCCATAATTTGTATGTTATATGTATTGTGTACAGTTAGAAATATGCAAACCATGAGAGATCACTTGAGTGATGATTTGCTGAAGAGATATATGCTCAGGTGGAGGTCATTAGTGTCACGGGACATTTTAAGTGGCTATTATCAACACTTGAGCCTACTGCAATTGCAATAGGAAGTGGCTATGAAATTATTATAGTAGGACAGTATTACTAAGATTAATTTTATACTGTTTACATTTCTCCCAACAGTGAATGGCATCATGTAAGGTTTGTTTCCATTTTTGATGGATTTTAACTTTTTATTGGAGATTTGTGCCTATAACAGAATTTTGATAGATTTTCTAAAAACTGTGATGTGAATTTAAATCATGAATGAATGTAATTTAAAGTATTTACTTACAATGGAATCCTAGTTTAATGCAGAATTATGTGTCTTTGATATTCTTCTTTTCTAGAATCTTACAAGAGATACTGCCACTGAAATAGCCATCAATGTGAAGGCGTTGTATAATGAAACAGAATCTTTGCTAGTTGGGAGGGTTCCTTTGGTAAGAAAAAGAAGTGATTGATAATATCACAATGATGAAATAATTATTTGGGCCTTACCTTCACTAGGGAATGTGCATTCAGTAGATCCTAAGGCCCTCCGGCCTTCACTCTCGGACCTTCCTTTTTGCCAGGCTTTTGCCTTCCAGAAAATATAGGGCTAAATTTGGAAGTTATGATTTAGGCTAACAGAAGTAGACATTCCCCTCATAGATGCCATTATGTGTTTATATAGCATCCCGCTCCCCCAGTCAGCTTTGAAAGACCCAAGTTTTATAAAATGTAGTAGTCATTCCTCAGCACTCATTTATGCATAAAAGTAGAGGGAATAATAGGTTTAATGCCCCAAATTAACATTTGAAAAATTATTGACATGGTTCTTCAGATTTATTTAAAGAAGTCACTGTGTAGATGCAGCATTTCAAGAACTAAATTTCAGGAAATATCCCTAGTTTAACTCAGTTTGATCCTGTAAGTCAAGTTTAGGTAAGTCTAAATCTGACACAGTCCACTGACCTAAAGCATAAATGCTAATCCAGAGTCAGTCTTTCTTTAAAAATACCTCACCATTGTCAAATGTTCTAGGATGTTGGATCTTGTCGCCACCTAGAGTTCACTTGAGGCATTTTCACATATGCTGTGGTCCCTATGTGGCATGCCTCATAACTGTTCTAATTGATAAGTGGTGATCTCAGAACACTTTGTTTGATAGTAATTTCATCTCTGCTTGGGTAAATATACACCTAAATAAAGTCATAGAAATCATTAAAGTCATAATATTTGTGCTAGGTAGTGTATGAATGGGAAGTCCTTCCCATAGCCAGCCTAAGTAATCATGCTTGAAATTTCTGTTTAACTGTAGGCCAAAAAAAAGTGCCACTCTTGGAGCATCCTTTGCTCTGAGAAGCTTAAAGGCAGGATGAAGGCCAATGCCCTTTCTATATCCTCCTTGGGATACAGAAATACAGCTTCTATGGGACAAAAGGTAGCTGTCTCTACTATGGCCTTCCAGAAAAACTTAGGGAGAAACTTCAGTTATCTCTTGATAAAATCAATGGAAACATCCACTTGGCTGTTTTGGGCACTCCTACCGTTAAACAGAATCTTCTCCTTTTCTAAAATAAGTCCTATAGGAAATCCTGTGAGTTGTGACTTGGGTTCCAATTTTTATTTTGAGGATATGTGTTTTTTCTCTTACTTGAATTACATTTAAGATAATTTCTGACAAGAACTAGAAGCATGACTTTGTCCTCAATACGAAAAGTACCCTCTTTGTGCTACTTTGTAATTATCTATCAATTGTATTATGTGAAAATGGAAACACACCCCCCACCCCCCCACACACACACACTTGCACACACACATTTCATTTTCTGTCATTGTCAAATATAAATGTTTGATTTAAAATTTATTGTAGTTAATTTTGCCAACACCCTTAACAATAGTGAAATCATAATAAATATTCGATCATATTTTAAATAACTAAGGTTTATTCTTTATTTTACTTTTAGAAAGAATATTTACTAGCCATTTAATCAATTTTATAAAACATATCCTTAAACTAAAATGAAAGTGCTAAATGTTATACATTAGGGTAGAGAATCTCCATATTTTTATGAATGACTAGAAAAGGTAGACACCTTTAAAAACCTAGGGGAAAAACAACAAAAAAAGAATGTTCACAATAAATAATAGCAGTATTCTCTCTGAACTTTCAATTCTAAAAGTATATGAGCATGTATATAGGTTCTCTACAATTTTAAAGTAATTTCTGAAAGTACTGGTTAGCTAGAAGAGACCTCAGAAATAATGTCCTTTTGTTCTATTTCTGAAAGAGAAAACTAAGGCTCCTGAAAGCAATTACCCCTCCCTTGGTAGCACAGTTCATTAGTCACAAGGCCAGGACTAGAACCCAATCAGCTTCCCTCCTGTTCTGTGCATAGCAGTGTTTACTTCATCTTTAGTCATTTACATACATGCATTTCACTAACTGCTATGAATGGGTTAAAGGTGAATAACAGGTGACCAGTTAAAGTCTCTAAATGTATCCAAACCCTATTCTAGACTAATAACCACTTAGCTTTTTGGTTTTGCCCTGATTTTTACAACAGCTTTTCATCACACATTTTTCTTAGATTTATTTTCTTCTCTTAAACTCATTCTTTTAGTTTTCGAGCAGATTTTTTATACATTTCTTTTTATGATAAGTTTATGACTAGTTAAAAATATTATTTATTCATAGGACGATCTATATTAATCAGAAAAATTTGTGGCACAAATCAGTAGAATAATGAAACAGATCACTAGTATAAGCATTAAGAATGGGTAGATAGATGCTTGGAATGGAGGAAGGAGGAAGGAAGGAGGAACAGAGGGAGGGAAAGGTTTACTTAGAAACACTAAAAGCAGTACTTTCTCTGTGATATTATTAAAGTCAGATTAGCTACATGTATTATCTCTGGGAATTAAGAATTAGCATAAATCTATCCAGATATTTTTAAATGAAAATATAAAGAATTGTTCTTTTTAAAAAGTTCTCTCATTTAAAAATTAGCATAATAAATGAGGATGTTCACTTTCAAAATAAATTAGTTGTTCTTTTTAAGTTGGTTGCTGAGTACTGTTTTGTTTTCTTTTTAATCTGCTGGTAAATAGCAGTTGGAATCTCCACATGAAGAACGGGTGGCTAGTGCCTTACATTCTGTGGAGGTGGAGTTACAGAAATTAACAGAGATCCCCTGGCTTTATTACATCTTACACCCCAATGAAGAGGAGGTATGTAAAATTCAGTCTGTTTCTTTATGATTATAGACCATATGACAATAGAATCCGAGCTTATCTTTGAAAAAGATATGTAGGGGAAAATAGATTTCCAACACTATTCTCAAATGTACTGTTCTTAAGTAAGGAAGAAAAGGTATTTTTGTGAACACAAGTATTATATGGGAATTGGTAGATTTTCATAAATACATTATGCCATGAGCTTTTTTTGAAGAAATCACTACTGTTCTACAATATGTAGTATTGATAACCTGTTCCTATATTCTCTCTGTTAAAAGTGGACTTTTCTTCTCTTAATATCCTACAGCAATTCCTTTTTGCTCTATTTGAACAGGAGCCTCCAATGGATTGCACCAAAAGGAACAACAGAAGCACAGTATTTCGTATAGTGCCAAAGTTTAAAAAGGAAAAAGTTCAAAAGCAGAAGACAAGTACTCAGCCTGGTAGGTGGTCCACATGATGGGAAAAAAAATAACACATTAATATCATTGAAGTGTTGAAAATGTTGAGAGCCAGATAGTGATGAGCATTGCCGTCATGAATGTACTAAACATCATTGAAATGTATACTTTAAAATTGTTGATATAGTGAATTTTACCATAAAAATCACATCATACCTAGAATATGTCTAAGTAGTTATGAAGCTTAGAAGGAAATGAATGGCTGCTAGCTTGCTTCTCTGTTTGGTATATATCATTGTGTCTGTCCAGAAGGGACTTTATCTTTCTCAACAGCAACTCAAGTTATCAGTGTGTAACTTGTTTTTCTTCTTCAGAGCCCAAAATTGAGATCACTGTGATAAATGAAACACAGAAACTTTCATTGACTCCTAAATAAAGTTGCTAAATGTATTTTTCCACCTAAAGTTATATCTTCTTTTCTCCTGTTTTAAGGACATCATGTTAACCCGTTGATAATGACCATCAGCTGTGCTATCTGCATTCTCAAGCAAAATTAAACCTCTCTATGCTGCTGTTTTTCTAGCTTCTTCTCCATCTTCTCTAAAGATGAAACTTACTGCTATTCTAGTCTGAAGCACCTTCAAGTTCTGTACACATGAGAGCAAATCTTTTTCATAAGTCCTTAGCTTATAAGAATTTTATAAATTTTTCTGAGTTAGCTATCTCATTTGTAAATAATGATATAAAATCCTACTTATGATATTCATAGAGCAGCTAAGGAAGGGCATTTAAAAACAAAATACACCAAATAAGTAGGCTTTTATTAAGCTAATCCATGTTGAATAACATGTACAAGAATGATTATACATACTGAAAAATAACATGATCAACTAATCTTAGAGAATAGTACTGACAGTTTTTAAACGACATGAAGTTGATTTAACAGCACATTTATTGCCATAATTATCAATAGCAGTAGAATCAATAAAGGCAACACTTGAAGTCAGCAAGACCTTAAACATGAAAGTGTAAAATTGAGTACCCCATAACACATTTTAAATTCTAATTAGCATTTGTAGCTCATTTCTAACTAAAACCGTTTTCATCCACTGTCTTAAGGAAATTATCAGGGCTTATTCAGACTTGTACCACTAATCCTAATGATTCGAAATAAAATTTTCTGTATGTTGTGTGGTGTGGTTAGTTTTAATGAGGAAATTGAACAAAAGCTGAAGGCATGGTGCTGCACGATAGCCAGTGTCTGTATAGTCAGACCCTTGTGTTGATTGATAGTCTGTAACCTGCATGGGAAACAAATGGAACTATAGTTCTGTTGAACAACACCTTTGACCTTTTCTTTGCTAGCACTGCTGCTGCACTCTGTTTTGCATCTCCTTTGGCCAACCTTTGCTTTGTAATGCATTGAGCATGTAGAAATTAAGGGGGTTTTGCTCTTAACTTTGGTAGTTCAGAAATGGGGCACTGAGGAAGTTGCTGCTTGGCTGGATCTGCTCAATTTGGGAGAGTACAAAGAAATCTTCATCCGTCATGACATCAGAGGGGCTGAACTTTTGCATCTGGAAAGGCGAGATCTTAAGGTATTTCCTTTGTGCTATTCTTCTGCTCTTGAAATTTTTTCTTGCAAAACAGAATTCTTTCTCCTGTGCTTCTTATGTTATGTGCTTTCAGCTTGGCTTGTGTTATGCAAATGTGCAGTAATCTAATATTCCCTGTCCTATGGTCTGAGGTCCTTGTGTGCTTTCTAAACAAGAACGTGTCAGCAATATTTTCTTGTCAAAATCATTCTGTATTATAGCTAACACACTGCATGAGCTTAGTTATTTTTCTCTGCATCCACTTTTGTGACTTTCTGTGCTAATATCTCCAAATGGGTCATGTTTCCATCAGCTCATTGGACTGGATCAGCATGGAAGTGGGTAATTGTTGCTGGGAAAAAACAAAACAAAAAAATCTAATATAAGCTTAACAACTAAAGACAAAGCCTTTCTATTATGTGGGATATTATGAGAGACTTATAGCAATTGCTACTTAGAGTTCTGTGATTTTGTTTGATTCTAAATTGGCCTTTCATAGGTCGCATCATCAACTAGACCAATTAATTCAAACTCCCTTGAAGCAAAAATTACATATAGCTATGCTAGAAAGCAGTTCAGAGTGTATTTGTTATTTGGGACAGGGAAGGAAAATCATTTATCAACTATCTGCAGCAATTCCCTTTTCTTCTTTGGGTTGAAACTCAACAGTAGAAACCGTCCAAGTAGCCTGTTTTGTCTGCTAAGAGTGAAATTTTTATCATGTTAAATTTTCTTGCCCTATGCTGCCATTTAAAAACTATAATAAGTAACATTGTTGGAACAATCCCTTTATCGTAGACCAATTTTTACAATGTCTAGAATTATGGCAGTAAATTCCTAACACATCCACAAGCTATTGTGCTTTGTCTGTGTAAGTCAGCAGAAATCTTTGAAGAGATAATGGTGGTATAAAATATAGGTCTTTATTGAGTAGTCAGATGGTTTAGCACATCAAAAGGTGAATACCATTTATACCCAAAAATCTTTAGCTGGAATAATAATAAAATAACAGGTAATTAATTTGATTGAGAGATCTAATTCTGGAACAGAACAAAGTATACAATGGTAGAGTTGAAGCCAAGATTGACTTCAAAACTTGAAATGAGTGAGTGCACAAAAATAATAAACGTAGGGGATCTTTTCAGTACATTCATATAGCTTCTGCTACCCTGGGCAGGCTACAGTACTTATAATGTAGCTATTCAATGTATTACTGTATTGTGCAGTTTCTCTAAGTGATATGTGTCCTCTAGAGGCCTGCATCTCATTGACCATAAGTAAGCATACATTCAAAGAAAACCCTCTGTGTATATATAAAAAATACATATTTAAATAGGTCTATGTGCGTGTGCTGTGTGCTATATAAATGCATAGATGTTATACAAATACAGGCACAAAAACACAGAGAAACATACATGCACATACTGAATGAAGCACATATTTACAGAATGACAAAACAAATCTCATATGTACACTAAGGAAAACTTGGGTGATAGGACCTGTTTGAGGAAAAAAATAAAATAAGAGTAGAAAAGAGATGGTTTAAGAATTATTTTAGTAAACTTTCTCTTTAGCTTTTCATGTTGTTTGTTTTTCATTTTTAATGCAAATTATATTTTCTCCCTGAAAACTTTTTAGAAATTTGTATTGACACTGGCCTTTTTACCTCTTTTGGTTGTGAAACAGGGTGTAGGGGGGTGGTGAAAGGACATTTTTTTTTTTTTTTTTTTTTTTTTTTTACAGAAAGAGCCTTCTGTAGCACAAAACCATGAAGCTAGAGAAGTCTCCCCTGACATTCTATGGTTGTGGCTGTCAGAGCACAGAACAGCCTCTCAATGTTGGTGAAGGATTACCTGCCCCTTGAGTTATCTCATCCATCCCCGTTCCTTCAAATGCTACTTGTGATTTTATCAATGGTACACAAGTTATATCTATCCCTGCCTGATGTCATTTGTGAACGTCAGGATTATGTCACCAACTGTCCACTTGATACTTGAGTATCACACAGGGACATAATTTTGACACATCCAAACCAGGCTCTTGATCTCCTATCCCACTCCTATTGAGCCCCTTTGTCAGTGTTGAGCATTTTAGTAAATCAAGCCTCAGGCTCTCCAAGTGCTAAAGGCCAAGAAATCCAGAGTCCCAAGTTAACACCTTTCTCTTCCTTATCCACGCCTCACAACCTATCAAGCCTCTCACCACATCACATTAATCCTAGTCTGCATTCTTTACTCTAATCTTTTATAATCCTGCTCCACACTACTGTCACATGTTGTTTGTGAAAAGTCAGTAGCTTCCTAACTTGCTTTTTTACTGCTACTTTGTCTCCCCAGTCCATTATCCACATTGCAACCAGAGTGATATTTTAATATCATCAATCTAGTATATTGAGTTCTCTGTTTAAAACCTTTCAGTGACTTTCCATTGCTATGAGAATAAAGACTCACATGGTTATGGAGGCCTTTGAGAGTCTTCCTACTTACATGACCTCCTGTAGAGTCTGTAACCCCTCACTGCCTTAAAAATGCAACATGCCTTCTTACCTTAGGGATACCCTCTTTTGCTGTGCTTCTCCCCTTCGCTCCACTTGGCTAACTCCTACTGAGAGGCTGGCTTAAATGTTACTTCTTTATCAACAAAAACAACTAGAGATGGCAGTATGACCATCTAAAGTTGGGAAAAGCGGGCAGGGATGTAGCTCAGTGGAGCCTGCTTGCCTAGCATGCACAAGGCCCTAGGTTCTCTCCTTAGCACTGCAAAAAAATAAAAAATATATAAAAGTAAAGAATAATAAGGAATAAATAAATAATTAAAAGAAAGCTAGGAAAGAGAATACATGTCTAAAATGCTTTAACAGATGAAGAAGTAAACTGGCTGTAATATTTCCCCTGCTGGAACACAGTAGGAGAAAGTGGGGGAATGTCAGAGAAAATGGTAGAGGGAATTTTGTTTATTTTTTTGCTTGGTAAATTGTGTATATGTAGGATAACTGAAAACATATGCTTTCCAAAACTAGGACTATTAATCCAAAGAATGAAAAAGCCAATAGTAAAGAATATGATAAAAATAAGTATAAAAATAAGTATAAAAAAATAAGGGCTGAGTTTGTGGCTCAGCGGTAGAGCATTCGCCTAGCTTGTATGATGCTCTGGGTTTGATCCTCAGCACCACATAAAAATGAATGAATAAAACAAAAGTATTGTGTCCAACTACAACTAAAACAAATATTTTTTAAAAAGCATACAATAATATGTGACAAACAATATATGATATGTGATATAAAAAAATAAAAAAATACAAGAAGTGTTACAATATAACTTTATCACAGTTTAGCTTCTAGGAGACATTAAAGTACTGAATTCCAACTGAAATAAAATATAGCTAAGAAGGTTATGCCATTCTATGTTACATTAGGGAAAACATTGATCTCATTATACCAAAAGATTAACTCTGAGAGCGGTCTACCTCATTACAAAGAAGTTTTTATTCTGGAGAATACAGTGTGTATATGGCCTAAAATAAAATATTTAATTAATATTTAAATATATTTTGTAAGTAGATATCTGCATTATCACAAGTATAAAGCATACTTAAATATTCTATTCAAATAAAAAACCCTTAAGACTGTAAATGCACTTACATTCTAAATCTAGATAACAGACACTGGTATCTTCCTCTAGGATATGGCCATGCTTTAAGTCTGATCTTTATCTTATACTCAGAACATGTATAGTCACCTTATGACTAATTTTTGGATGTCCTAATATCATATGAAAAATTTTTTTCTGGGTCAATTAAATATGATAAAAATGTCACCTTTTAATTATCTCAAGCTCAAAAATAGCACTACCTTTAGAAAGAATGTTTTCCAGAAGGATCAGAATCACCAGTAGCTTTGCAGCAATGGAGCTCAAAAAGCTCATCAAGTGTAGGGAGAGAGCATGTGTACATGTGTAGACTTAAACACGTTTGATCTACTCCATTTAAACGTTTAAAAATAATGCTCTTAAGTTTCAGAACAGGGTGGGTATTTGAAATCACCTTTTCTGACAAGCAATGTGTGGTACCTTGTAATCCCGTTTTTTAGTTGCTTTGTAAGTCATCTTTTTACTAATTTTCAGACATCTCACACTATTTTGTGAAGAGGTTGTTTGACCTCACACATTAGCAAACTGATTATATGTTACACTTACAGAAACTGTAGGGTTTAGAGGCCTTAACTCTTGTAGTTTTGTGGATCCTAGATATTATGGGTCTCTAGGATGTTTCTCCTGCAATAAGCATTTGCCATGTGCCTACTACGCACCCATCAGTCATCTTCATTCTTGAAAGATGAATATTCAATTCTTGGCACTTATAGAAAGGCAGTCCTTTAAGAAAGGAGAATAATAATTCCAAGATACAAAACTATTAGTATTTTGAGGGAAAGCATCAACCAACAGATACTTATATTTAAGTAATTTTACACATATATACATTACAAAAAATAAAGAATATTTAAATTAGATATTCTATGCAAATCAAAGACTCTCCATGCAACTGCAAATGCATTCCAAATAGGTAGCAGGTACTATTGTCTTCCTCTAGGATTAGGCCTCACTGGAAAGAGCTGGGTGTGGTGGTACACACCTGGAGTACTTGGGAGGCTGAGGTGGGAGGGTGGCTTGAACTTGGGAGTTTAACATTAGCCTGGGCAACATAGCAAGACCCCAGCTCAAAAAAAAAAAAAAAAAAGTTACACAAGAAATGTGTAGTTGTCTTAGAACTAATTGTGGATGCTCTGGTGTCCTACCTCATTCGCCCCAGAGATCCCAAAAGGGCCTGTCTTAAAAACAGAGGTTTGGGAGGCAGGGGAGAAAGAAAAACTATGATCATTTTGACACTTAAAGAACTGCCCCCTTGTATATAATTTGTATGCAATTCAGAGGAGTTTGTATGGGATGTGATTTTTTTTTTTTTTTACTGATTGATCATTTTTCATTGTTATTTTTGTTTCATTAACTTATTTTTCTAACTATCACTTCCTATATCATTGAATATAAACTGACATAGATGAACTGAATGCTAATTATGTTACTTGCTGGTTAAAAATTTTATCCACAGTTTCATCAATAAACTCTGTCTTCTTTCTTCCTTTCTTGACTCTTTCTTTCTACCTTTTTCCTTTCTTTTCTTTTCTTCTTTTTTTTTTATAGGACCTGGGGATACCGAAAGTGGGCCATGTGAAGCGAATTCTGCAGGGAATTAAAGAGCTTGGAAGGATCACTTCCCAGTCTGAGGTGTAATATTGGTGCTATTCCTTGGAAGAGAAGTAATTGCTACTCAATACAAAGTTCTTGGAAGCAATTGGCTGTTCTTGTAGTTTTCTGCATAGATAAGTAAGCACCACTGAAGCACCTCTATGGCTTGATATTTTATTATGGGTGAAATTTTTGATTTGAGGTTTTAGAAAATATTTTTGTGCCAAAAATACATTCCATTAAGCCATTTTCTTATTGTGCAAACCTGATATGTTCAAATATGCTCATAGTTGGAAAAAAGTAGGAGGCATCCGAGATAGCTACATTGTCTAAAAGTGGAATTGCTACTCACTTACTTTCCTTAGATCTGGTCTGATAGAGGGTTCTTACTGTGCAATCACATAAAGGTGTGTGGCTAAAACTTCTTGGGTTTCATTGTTGGAGGAATTGGCTTCTTTCTTCAAATCATTGGTTAGGAGACAAAGATATACATTAAGTTGTGTTTTGAATGTTAGATTGGTATTACCATAGGTTCATAGCATTCACTGGTCAAAGAATATGGTTAAACCAACCTATCAAATACTACAAATAATGCAGATCTTAATGCACGGAGTTCCTGCCTGGATTGTCTTTCTTTTTCTTGCATGTCATATTGTAACACTTTGGTAGCCTTAATCTCAGTTTTAGTGGAATTTGATTTATGACTACCCAAGTACCTTTTTATTGGTTAAGGGACTGAAATTTTCTGTTCTATAATGTGGAATTTTATATAAATATTCTATACCTAAGATTTTGTGAACATGTGTCTGTGCCATAATCAACAAATGATATACATCTTATGCAAGTCAATTTTATTTCAACGTATCATACATAAACCATAGGTATGCACATTAAGAAAATTGTTTGGATATTTTTATAAACTTACATGCTGTTATCTGACAGAACTTATTACAACTTTCCAAAGCAAAATTTCCACATTTTGTTCCTATTTTTTCATTTCATTTTAATAATCATCTAATATTTTGTTTGAATTTATAGCAGACTGTTGACATCTAGGAATTCTGCAAGGTCTCAACTGAAATTTTATACTGTTTGATCACTCAGACTCACCCACTAGTTACAGTGACTTATGACATGAACTTCCCAACAGAAGAAACTCAAATTTTTTCTTAAGGGCTTTATTCTTCTTATTAATAATAATAATTATTATTATTTCACATAATTCATATAACCTATCAGGTTGATATTCTTTCCCTTTTTCTAAACCACTATACATTAGAGTTGCTCATTAGAAGTCAACATTACAGTTATCAAATATTTGAAAGCCAAAGGCATACATATCAAGAAGCCACAAAAATATTCTTAAATAAACTTTCTTTAGCCATTATAATGCCAAGAAATTAATTATACTATTTTTAATATTCTATGTAAGAAAAATAAACAGGGTACTGACCCAGTGTGACAGTTTTCATAAAGTAACCTGGGAGGTGCTCAATAGCTATACATACACCCTAGTGTACATATACACATATTTGTGTATATACACCTACACACATATGCATATTATCTTGAGACATAGTATCATTGATATTTTCTAGACAATATTGCCCAGTGTTTTAAGAGAAATAATGATTGAGGAGTATTTAAAGTGAACTATTGACAGACATATAATTTATCTCAAAGGAACTTAATTATGTGATAGTTTGTACTTATTTATAACTTGGGTATTTAACTGGTAGTAAAGTCACAAAATTTGGATATCTTAGAAATAAAAAAAAAATGGGAGGGCTGGGAACATAACTCAGTGGTAGAACACTTACTTGCCTAGCATGTGTCAGGCTGCAGGCTCAATCCCCATCACTGCAAATAAATAAATAAACCCAATGGGTTCCATGTCTGACTTTTTACCTAAGTTGTGGATAAATGGAAATTTTCCAAAGGGAATTTGTGTCAAGTAGTTCAGAGGGGTGGTTAAATTTTAATTTTATCCACTCCTCTGAAGCCAGGGGTCTCCTTTTCCAGTCTTCTTTGTAGTCCCCCCCCCATATGTTATCCCTGCTCCATGTGCTTCCTCCCTTTGAAACTAAAATACCAGGTGCCAGATCCCAGAACTCTCTTGAGACCCTGATCCTGGTCCAGGTCTCAAGAAAGGAGGGGTGAGAGGAACTCTAGTATTAAGACAGTGCTAATATAAAATATAAAAATCTTTATTGATCCCCTCTCCAAAAAATGAATACCTCTTTGCCAATAGAAAAGATTTATAAGCTATTACATGTTCTGAATTTGAGTATGATGTAAAGGATTGAAATTTTTCTTGTTGTTTGGCCATTTCGCTTAGGTAACATCTTTTAATTTCTTTAAAATCTCAGTTACTAGAATCTTTAATTAACTAGAATTTTCCTGCAAATGGCTCTTGGATGAGGGAAATCCTTTAGAATGACAATTTGGATTTTTTATTTTTTTTTTTTGTTGTTGTTAAATGGTAGCTATTTTCCCTGTAAGGTTAGTCTGCTTGTCTGCATATGTCTATGCAGGACTCAGATGACTTCACTGACACCTGTCACCAGCATGGCACCGTCAGAGCCTCCTGTCACATCACAGAGAAACCATCTTCTTATCCTAGTTGGGGTTTAAAAACCATCAAGTGGGAATTGCTTCTCCCTGGCATGGGATCACAGCCTGGGATCACAGCCTGGGATCACAGCCTGAGGAGTGCAGATGGCTTCTCTGCTTAGATCCATGCACACGCTTACGTTGAGAGGCTCACCCGTGCACTGATTGCAGCTGTAGCTGTCACTGCTCCTCCTCATAGGTTCTCCCACGCCTGGATAATTAGGGCGTAGGTGGGAGAATCACAGCCCAAATCTACTTTCTCTGACTTTTACTTTCTCTGAGGAAAATTGCTTTTCAAAACGGAAAGGGACAGGGTCAGTCCTAAGTAAAATTCCAGACTTCTCAGTATTCCCCATTCATTGTCTCTCCACCTCCGTTTCTCAGTTTCTTTCCTACTTTCTGGCTTTGCATTTTCCCATGCCTAACATAGTAATGGCTGCTCAAAGTCTCACTGCCTTCCCACCATCCTTTGCCAGTCAGTTGCCCTATGCAAAATGACCTCTTTTCTCTCACCACCATAGCAGAGTTTTCTTCTCAATCCTTATTCTTAACCCTGTTCTAGATGGGGTCTTCCTACCTAATGGGTTTATCTGGGTAACTAAGGTGGAGCATAGGAGATTGGCTAAGCAGCACAGCTGAACTTTCTCCAGCCCCTCACTGTACTGTAAGCCAGTAGCAATCCATATCTGCTTAGTTTGTTGCCCCTGTGGCGTGTTTGTTTATTCATGACAAGTCACAAGGGACATTTCAGAAGAATATGTACTGAGATAAGTAAAGATCACTGATCACTGTCCTTGAACTTGTACATTTTCATTTTCTCTTATCATTAAATTACCCTGTTGCCATAGTGCATGCTTGAAGACACATAGCAGCACACACATTAAATGAATCATTAGGCATGCAAAAAAAAAAAAAAGGATCAAAATGATTAGAAGTAAAACAAATGTGTCATTTATTCCCTCAAAATAGGCATGTCTTGCTAGATTTGGATCTGTTTTTCTTACGCTAACTTATCTTGATTTTCACATGGCTAATAATTTCTTAAAATGGTGCCTGAAAATAATATATTCTCGGCCCCCAAATGCAAATTATTTAATTCTAAAATAAAATCTTTCCCAATGACTTATTGTCAGGAATCCTTCACTTAATAATTCACATAAAACTTAACAAAACATAACTGCCTAGAGATTCTTTTTGTGTGTGTGTCTTTGGTCATTACTTTTTTTATTTTTTATTTGTTTTTTTTTTTTTTAGATATACATGACAGAATGTATAATAATATGTCAAAATACATCTACTGCCTAGAGATTCTTAACTAATTTTTTATAAATAATGATGGCACTATTTTAGACTCTATGGGTTATTTTTGACAGGAATACAAGTTATGACTTAGCAATTATAGGAGCTCCCTCCATACAATGCTTCTAAAGTAAATAGTCTACTATATTCACCTGGGCTAACAACGCAGTGAACTTTCACGTTGTTAGGATTTGAATCTTTTAATTAAACCATGAGAACAATACATCTTTCACCTTGATGCCATGGATCCTTCCCACCATCCCCACCTCAATGAACTAATTTTACATTTTTTCAGATGGAAGTTGGATAGACAATGAATTTAGAGTTGGATAATACAAGTGGCAGTTTTAAAACATCAAGTTCTCCCCCAGGACAGAAAGAGGAAAGTGAGACGTAGAAATTCCTCCAGTAAGAACCATTAGCTACTGGATTCACCCTCCCTGGTGGCTCCTATAACGTGGCTGCCACACTTCTCTCACTGCTCCACTCCAAGTGCCATGAGGCCTATGTCTTGTCTGTTGCCAAGGAGACATCCCATGACTGACCTTTGTATAACAGTCTCCATGTCATATCAGTAATAGGGTGCCTCCCTAAGGAAGCAACCAAACTTTAAAAAGGTGATGATTATTGGCTTCTACAATAAGCAAAGCCTAAATTTTATTAATTACTGTTTTCTCATTTTTCCAAGTTTTGTTTAGAGATATTTATATCAGAAGAAAAGAAGTACAAAGGTTTATCATTATAGAGAAGAGAGATTAAAGACAGCTGGACTGTACCTATTTGTATAATTCTGTCAATTTCAGGAAAAGAAGTTTAACAATAACTGGGACTGCATTAACAGTAACAATGTTTAAGATAAACTCCATATTACAGTATGTAAGTTAACAATTCCCTTTATGTAACTAAGTATTCTATTTACATTATTTATATACTCTCCTAATTTCTTACGCACTTCCAAGTTTTAGTTGGAAACATAAAAACAAAACCACTACTTAAAACTTTTTAAAGCTACACATAAAATATTTCATTTTAGCAACAAGTTATTCACTGTTTAGGAATTTATAGTCTGGGTATTTCATAGTAACTGCATTTCAAGAGTAAATTAACCAAATTTAACAGAACAGAGTTACTTTTAAAATTCATTAAAATAAAGGGGTTTCATACTCAGTTGATAATGCTATTAAACAAGCTAACAAGGAAAAAGACTATATCTTGGGGCCCTTAATGTTTGATTGCACTATTGTTTTACACAACTTAGCCATATCTATTTCTATACTCTAAGTATTAAACTAATATGTAGCTAAAGATTGCTTGCAGTTCTGGTAACTGGTAACTAGTGCTATGAAAGGTTTTGGTATTGTAACATTCCCAGTTTTGTGAGTTATATATTGTATATTGAAGATGACTAGTTAATTGGAGTAATATATTTATCTAGAGCTGGTAAAATATGGTAATTATTTTCAAATCTTTAATAAGTTGTATTAAACTTTTTCTTTCTCTTATGCAAGGTTAAAGTCTTACTTTTTGTTAACACGTCTATTTATACAATAGGTTCCTCCTTTTACTGGTGTTATTAATTTTCATACTAAAATGTTTCTTACCCTTTTATATCAAAATAATTATCACGCTGGTTATTCAAACTGCCAGGGTGTATTTTATTTTGCAGGACTTTTGGCAAACAAGATATTTAATAATAAACAAATATAAAAGCTCTGTATATTTTGTGGCTTTAAGGGCAAAAATTTTACCTTTGAATTGTTGTATGTGAGACAGTGCTGACAATAGCAACGTCAATTATAGGCAGTATTACTTATAACCATTGGAAGGTTTTCACAAGTTGTATAAATCAGTGCATTTATTTATTATGTTGTGAAATGTAATCTTTATACAAAATGCATATTCTAGCTCTTTTCCTTTTTAGTGCTGTTGCCTAGAGTGTAATAGCTCTGTTAATGATTTACTTATATACTTGAAGTACTCATTTCTGTCAAACAGATGCCCAATTTTTTTCTTGTAAAAACTGATATTCTTCACCATAATAGATAATTGAACAGTAGGGACTTTTAAAAAATGATTTTCATGTCTAAAATAAATATCAAAGGGCATAAAGCCAAAGGAAATGACCAATGTTAAGAATTTAATAGAGCCAAGGGATTCATTATGCTACAGTTTACCAATATATAATACGTCTTCATAACTTTTTTCCTGTGATGAATTTTCAGTATTTGTTATAAGAGATTATACTGCCAATACAACATTTAAATGAACATTGAGAATCTTGAATTCCCCAAAGTATCACATACCTCTAGCAGTCAGGTCTTGGTATATATTTTTTAACATGTTTGCATTGGACTATGAACTATTTTACAAATAGTAACCATGGATAATGGTTAATTTGTTTCTGTCAAATATATAAATGAGATTTTAATTGAGTTTTGAATCATTTCTATTTAAACGTGTTCTCAATTACATTGTTTAAAAATCCAACTTTTAAAACACAATAGCACAACTTAACCCCACAGAATAAAATCACCTGTTTTCAAGGAAGTAAAAACAAGGGAAAAAGAAAAACCAAAAAACCTCAGTGTGAAGCCGTGTGGTATGCCAAAGAAATCACTTGAATAACCCCTAAATTCCACTGTTTCATTCTATTTTACAGTGGGCAAGGTAGATGAATTGTGATATATTTAAGAATTTATATTAGAAGATTAAGGAATTAGTTTATTATCATTTTTAAAGACAGGGTTTTATATTAATTTTACAGTTGCACAAGCAATTATCAAAAGTGGGAAAGTGAAAATATGTGAGAAACATTATATAAACATTTTAAGAGATAGGAAACTGCTGATAGTTTGACAAAGATTTGGGAATAGTTTGAATATAGTTATTTTTCAGCTTATAGAAACACAAAGCACATGAGAGATATATGGTATGGTGAGCATAATACCACAAAACCAAAAAATGGCACATTGACGATATCAGAGACTATATCTAGATTTTATCAAAATAGCTAGTGAATTCAGGGATCCCATTTTACTGGTGAAATTTAGAACTTTTAAGGAAGTAGTTAGGATGACTAATTGTTCAAGACATTTGATATAGTCCACACAAGTGTTTATTCCATGGGACAGATGTCTGTGCTTTTTCAACTTAGTGAGAGTCTCAGAGAAACTAGTCCAAAGGGCTTAGCTGTTTCCTAATAAAAGAACACTGGGTAAATGTGAATCAGACCTATACCATGCAGACCAAAGAGATTTTCATGCAGTTGTTAAGCCCTAAAATTTGTTAGCAATGAGTTTTCATTTAAAAGAGCAAAAAATCATTAAAAGTTAAAATCTTTGTAAAGATCTACATTCTATAATTCTAGAGATGGGAATATTGTCAGTTTACCTGATTCCATAACTGACTTCAGCAGTGGCTCATCATGACCTTTTCTATAAGCTATATGTTTTGGTGCCTCTGTTTTCCCGATTAGAAATGCCACATGATATTGCCAATTATAAGTACTTGGTTAATTTTTCTGCTATAAAAGGAACTATGTTAAGTGTGAATCATACTTAAATTTGTCATTTCTTTTCCACTATCATTTATATCTAAAGAAAGATATATAACATGAAAATTAAAAGTCAAATTTATACCCCTTGGTGTGTCTTTTAAATGTGAAAGCAAAGGGCTGGCACATAGCTCAGTAGTAGAGCACTTACCTGGCATACTTGAGTCCTGGATTCTGTCCCCAGTACTGCAAAAGATTAAAGGGAAAAAAGTTAAATTAGTACCATCTGTGGGTTGTAGGAATTTTTATTTGTATGCTACAGGGTCATATTCGTTTTAGGATAGGCTAAAAACTCACTTCTAAAATTTAAAAATTTTGAGTAATTTCATTTTTTCTATACTTTCCCCAAACAAATAGTTTATATCTAAAGAAAGATATATAACATGAAAATTAAAAGTCAAATTTATACCCCTTGGTGTGTCTTTTAAATGTGAAAGCAAAGGGCTGGCACATAGCTCAGTAGTAGAGCACTTACCTGGCATACTTGAGTAAATATAATTTTTTTAAAAAAATTAAGATCTTCCTATCTTTAATTATTTAAGGAGAAAATTATCTTTAAACTAGTTGTTTAAAAAAATGAAATGTCTCCTTACCTAGGTTTTTTCCTGTGATGTTACTTCCTCAAGGGTAAGCCCATTCTGAAGGGTGCCTTTGATCTATAGCACAGGTCACTAAGTGCATTCTCAGACTGTGGAATAGTATTCTCTCATGCAGCACACCTCCTAAACTTCCCATAGAGAAACTAAGCCAGAGGTTGTCTTAATTATTGCCACAATAGAAATCTGTGCACAATTTTAAGGTAAATAAATGAAAAATTCAAATAACTTGGTTAAAGTAATTATATAAGGATAAGTGAATGCTGACTTTATTTTTGCATGACATTTGAATTCAGTCACTATCTGATTCTTAATGTGAAGCTTTCTTTGCTAAATCTGGTATATTATTATATTTATTATAGCACAATATTTATTATAGCACAATATGGTAACTTGAAGCTCCTGTAGCAATCCTCTCCCCTAGAAATGTGGGATTATAAGAGGCTATAAACTGTATGACGTAAAAGAAAAGACCTGATTGGAATTTGTCGACATGGTATTTTGATCTGTCTTAATGATACAACTTAATTTTCATGAAAACAGATCTCTAAATGATTATTCCAGAATGATTTGTTGACTGGAAAAAATTATTTCCCTGGAATTTGCTTTACTTCAATGACCTGATATATACAGATGAACTTAGTATAATTGAAATTAATTCTAATTCATTTTAATTAGAACCTGCCCTGTTTGCAGATTTCAGTTGTGTAGCAGTGTTTTAATAGAAATAATGATGAGAATGGAAGCTGTGAACTTAAATAGTTCTTTTGTTTCCTTTCTTCCTTTTACTTGAAAGGCATTTGAAAGATGACACAGTTTTTATGGCAACATTTTGTAGATATGTTCTTCTGCTGAGAAACTCATAAACTAAAATATGGAACAAAACAAATGCATAATTCTAATCTTGGTTTTGGATTGTGCAAGTAAAAGCATTTTATATATCATATTTTTTCATTATTTTGGCAATTGCATATTTCATTTTGACCATCTCAAAAGCAGAATTGGCATTCTATTCTGTTGCTAATTAGTTGCAGTAAAGTGATAATTCTGTTGCCTTGGTTCAGGCCCTCATCAATACAAGCCTCATCATTTTTCTTTCCTGTGCTTTACAACAACCCGTTTTCCTATTTTACTCTATCCCACCAGAGTAGAAGACTTGAATTTGCTTTTTCATTTCTTTGCTTAAAATTCTTAAGTACCCTTTTCTTTATAGGATATCAGCCTAACTCTTTAGCAGGACAGATAAGATACTCTGTGACTGTTCTTCTCCCCACACTTTTAGCATCCTCCACTACCATCCCTCTATTGACTTTTTGTAATCCAGACATTTGGAAATATTCACAATTTAGTGCTTTGGAATAATCCCATGCCATAGATCAATTTATTCAAGACTCAGTTCATATCTTCTGTGAAGCCTTACCTGATGTCTCCAAGCATGTATTTATTTCATCCATGGCCAATAGTATTTTGAAAGTTTTTATGTTAAAAAACATTTATATTTCAATTAGAAATACACAACATACACACACACCCACACACACACACACACACACACACACACACATGCCTGCCTCTCCCCCTGAATTTTTCTCTTTGTAGTTGCAATGTCTGCTAGCACATAATTGAACTCTGAGAAATGTTTTTAGATGAAGGAGATATAAAATCCAAATATCTCTATATGTTTGTACTTTTATAAATAAAACATTAGAACTCCCCGAAAAGCCACAAGGTGAATACATTCATGAGTGTGCATGCACTCAGGTCAGACCAAAAGGAGATGAACAGGCAAAAGTGGTTGTTTTATGAAGGGTAACTACTTGAGGACTGTACATCAGGAAGATCTACCAAATCTGAATATTCATTTCTAAAGTAAGCCTATGGTTTATCACACAACTGCGAAATTCTTGTTTGTGATTCATAAATATGTCCTAAAGATTATCTCATACAGACATTAGGTATACATGATCTTCATAAACACATACATTTATCACCTACACACAAAAGAGACTTGAGAAGGAATTTTTAAAAAAGCAATGAAGGTGAAATGTTTTAATATATTTAACCAGGAAGATTTGTGTGATTTCAAATAGTTAATGATGACTGTAATATCAATGTAAAGTAGGTTTGTGTCTGTCATCACCTTTGGTAGAATCTAAAGACTAAAACCATTAAATATGGGCCTGTTTTTCTTTTGTGACTTTTATAAAGCTTTTCTATCATGTCCCCAAATAATGATGAGTTAATCTAAAATCAAATACTAGTCAAAATTTATTTAATTAAATGTAATGCTCTTTTCCTTCACTCACTTGATAGATGTTTTTCTGTCTGCTGTATCCTTGGCACTCATTTAGATGTTAAGGATACAACTAAAATGAGACATGGCTTCTGTCCAATAGATTAGTTCAAGTTTGTTTTCACAATTATTTTTCTCGAGTCTGTTTAAGATATTCAGAGGACATTCTTTTTTAAACCAAACGTTTCCCAGTTTACTTCAGAGATGTATTCTTCAACTGATCAAATTGTTTGTCATAAAGAAGTAATCTCATTTTTATGCCCATAATTAACAAAAATTTAGACGTTGATGGGCCTTTATTTTATTAATTTATTTATGTGCAGTGTTGAGAATCAAACCCAGTGCCTCGTACATGCTAGGCAAGTGCTCTGCCGCTGAAACAAAACCCAGCCCTATGCCCATGATTTTTGTATTTTCATGTCAGCCACAAGTAATTTTGACCATCTGAATCAATTATGTGTTTCATCATTCTGTAGAATGGCAGGTGCTAAATGTGATCCAAGTGACTAAAATATTTGTAGAACATGAGTTGAACTTCAGGTTCATTTTTGGAAGGCATGTGTTAGTGACACACACACCAACATGTCTAAGAGGCATACGTTATAAAACCCCAGGAGAAAAATAGTAAATGCTTTTCCATAGATATTAAAGGATTCATTTGAAGTTGTGGTTTAATGTTTTCACCTCCGTCGTTTTTAGTGGGGAGTAGAGAATAATAATATTTAACAGGTAACATACTTATCTAAGCATATAGTAAATGTGCTACTAGTATGTGTGTGCCACAAAGCTCTGATAGAAATGAAACAAAACCAAAAATATTTGAGTTATAAAACAATATCTTTGAATATTTATTGAAGGTTAAGCTATCAGGTTCCTTTAGAGAAGAAAGAAACTGTATTTTTACTGTCAGGAAGTATGGAAAAAACCTTACTTTTATGTATATTCACATTTTGATAGGTATATTTTAAGTCACTGTTTCTAATCAATATAAAATGTCAGCTATTTTTTATGTTCCCTAGCAAAAGAAAATCCTTAATTCAATAAATTTACTCTTTGGTTTTCTAAAACATTTATAAAAGAAAGAGGCTCAGGAGGCTGGACACTTTGCCCTTCTGTTCAGCACATTCATTTCACCTTTCAATAAATAAAATGAAATTATTTGCCTCCAATTTATCATCAGGTCGAAAACCTAACAGTAGAGTTCCTTCTGTTTCTTATATTGCAAAAGTTAATTTTAATTTAGCCTTACCATATTATTTCTTGGTAAACATTTACTACATTTTTGTAGTCTGTTTTAAAACTAAGTACTTATATCTGAAAGATTCAGGTAATGTCTATTTATTACACAGTGGGCTCTGTTTGCTGCAGAAAAGAGTGAAACTTTTAACTGCTTAGCACACTTGCCAGTGAAATATACCTGACAGAGCAGAGGTTATAACTTTGGCTCTTATTACTTTTCATAATGATAAGAAAACGTGAGTTTTGTTTGTTTACATGCTGTTTATAATGGCATAATTTTTAAAATATATTCAACAATTGAGATATTTATTGCATACTATTTTAAAGATGTTTTATGTGTTTTCACCTTTGGAATATATTGTTACATTTCCTTGTACAGATAATTTGGGTGGCTTTGTTAATGTAGCTAGTAATTTTTATGACTACTAAGTGACCAGTTTTTGGTGCCTTTTATTGTGGGATGCATGATTATGTATTTATTGTATGGAAGTCACTGATGTGTTTATTTTTGTACTTTGCTGAGAGTAATGGTTGATCCTGATGTACATGATGATGAGAAATGTCTTTCCCAAAGGGCACTACCTTGAGATTGTTCTTCTCAATAAAAGAATGCATTTCAAGAAGGTGTGAGTTTTATTTTATTCCTAGAGGGAAATATTTTTAAATTTTTTATTTTGTAGATTCATATGCAGTTGTAAGAAATAATATACAGTGATTCTTTGTACCATTTGCCCATTTTCCCCCAGTGGTGACATCTTGGAAAAGATCAGTACAGTGTACAATACCAAACCCAGAATGGTATTGACATTGATAAGGTCAAGATGCTGAACAGTTGTACCACCATAAGGACTCACAACCCATGTTGCTTTTTTTTTTTTTTTAACCCAGCAGGTACCTTACCACTGACCTATATTCTCAGCCCTTTTTATATTTTTATTTGAGAAGGGTCTTGCTGAGTTGCCAACGCTGCCTCCAACCTGGGATCCTCTTGTCTGCCCCTCCTGGCCTGCTTAGATTACAGGCATGTGCTACCATGCCCAGCTTCATTTTGCTGTTTTATGAGCACATTTACCACCCTCCTGTCCTAATCTACTTCTTAACCTTAGGCCACCACTTACTATCTCTATTTTTATTATTATATTATTTCAAATAGGTTATGTTAATGGAATTATATAGCATAATTTTTCACTCAGCATAATTCCACGGAGATTTGTCAAAATCTTTGTATATATAAGTAGTTTTTTGTTTGGTTGATTGGTTAGGGTCTTTTCATTGCTGAGTAGTATTCCATCTCTTGGAATTCTTAATGGCAAAGTTATAATCTAGCTTTCCTTTGTAGTCATGCTTCCTTGAAGTTCACCAAAATATAGTTAAGAGCCTGACATATGCAAGTGTCTGCAGTGGTAATGATCTGTGTAGCACACAAACTGTTATGTGTGGAACACAGAACAAGGAGGTTTAAGAGTGTCTTCCTGGATAGGTGACTTTAAGTTGTGTCTTGGACAAAGTGAATGTGTGGGAAAGGCAGAAAGGACATGGCAAGAAAAAGAAGCAAGGCAGCAGAGAGGGTGTGACTAACAGCAAGAGAGCAGGGAGAGACAGAAGATGACCTGGAGTAGGTGAGGGCAAGAACTATGCTACAGATGGGCATAGAACAGTGAGGAACTTTTGAAGGGCATTTTAGTGGAAATGGAAAGAAAGGAACAAATCTGACATATAGTTAGGGGTAAATGGCTTGAACTTGGAGATTTTGGATGAAACCCACGTTCCTACTAACTGAAAAGGAAATCAAGGTCAGATTCATATCACAGGTTTAAGGTAAGTATAGGATGTCCATTGTATGCATAATATTGAAGAGAGGTATGGGAAGGAAATATAGATTCACAGGTCATCCTTATATGGGTTGAAGCCACTAGAGAAGATGAAGTTGTTCTGAAAGACCCTCAGGAACAAGGAAAAGTCATCCCACAGATCTGGAACTCAGACCTCAGAGAAAAGGGTGTTCTCCTGATAGTGCTTGGGGGAGTGCCAAAGGAAGGAGGTGGAGAACAGAACCAGGTGCCTCAGCCACAGTGAGAACTTATGCCACCAGGAGACTGGTAACTACAGCAAAACATGAAGAGCCGGACCTTCCTTCTACTGCCCTCTAGTCTCCCTCTCACATCTCTGTTGGGCAGGAAACCAGCTGCCAAAGCCAGTGCCACTTACAGAGTCCCAATCCCAGCATCACAAAGCAGAGTATAAAAATGTTATTTGGAAATAAGAGAAAAGTTTATTAAGTGGCCACTAAGTATCATAAGAATAGCAAGTCTTCATTAGTTATATCAGACACAGCCTGTATCACATTCAGAGGACAGTGGGGCGAGAAGCTGTCCCAGGAGGAATAGCTGAGGGAATGGCAGCGTCTTAGCTTGGAAAAGAACACTCAGGGTTGGGGAGTGAAGGTAGACCAGAGGAAATGAGATTAGATATATGTAATATATGTAAGGACTGTCTTCAAATATTTAAGGGGCTGTTGTGACAAAGTGGGTTTGTATTCTAAATGAGATATGAAAGTGAAATCGACAGGAGAGACTGCGATGTCTAAAGATGTGATGGCTAATGAGTTCCCTTGAGAGAGGAGTTAGAACGGAAGCTGGCAATCACCTGGTTCCCATGAGAATATTAATTCCATGAGGAAAGAGAATGTTTTCACCATGGTATCCCAGTGCATGGAATAGTGCTTGGCTGTTGGATGTATATGGTATGTATGTATATGCCGAACATATGTATATGGTATGTGTATTTGTTGAATAAATCAGAAATAACCAAGCATCAGATCAGAAGACCAGATTACCTCTCAGTCCAGCAGCTGATCATACATAAAGGCCAACTATGCAGTACTAACTGTATTAAGAAATAAGTGAACCAAAATTTAAGCTCTAGTTCCCTTCAAAAGTGCTATTAACCAATGTTTTTATATACTTACATCATGACTCAGTACTGCTTGATTCTGACAGACTTTCTGAATCATCAAATTACTTTTAATTTAAAATGCAAATTATATTTTATTGTATACTAATTCTCCTTAAAGTAGCAATCTGTTTACCTAGCTATAGTCTTGATAAGGCCCAGTCCCTTAATCTTGACAGCAAATGGTTTATCACACGAGCAGACTGGAATTTTCACCAGGAAACCTAAATACATTAGAGCTTTCAGGTGGGAAAATGAGACTCCTTCAAAGAGTGCAAGGAACTTTCCTTTCCTAGCTCTGCTCCTGCTGTTTATTACTCCTTGTGCCACCACTGGTGCATTCACAAAATGTGACACTTGGTGCTATAGTGAGTAACATTCATCTCAAAGCAAGACTGATATGGTTGTACTAGCCACAAGAATGAGGCACTACAGTAAAAATAGCATCCAAGCAGTATACAGTATTTCTTAGTTTAAGGCACCATATTCTGCAGTGAACCTTCATGATGCCATGAGTTCAGTATTAGACCCATTTGAAACATCCTCATACCCTTTGCATTGGTTCCATTTCGAGCAATGACATTTTTGATAAATGTGGGCATTGGCGCACTATCCTTCCTTGAAGAGCAATAATGACTCACCAAGTAACAAGCAGCCCTAAGAACCACAGCAGGTAGAAAATGTTCTCTGTGTATCTCTTCTTCCATACAGGCCTCCCTCTCACCCAAATTGCAGCCAGGTAGCTCCCAGCAACTGAGAAGTCACAAGTGAAAGAGGTCTTACATCAAATTTTTCAGGCTTTTTTGACTGCTACCTATAGTGAAAAATACATTTTTCCTCAGTGTACATAAATATGGTTATGTGTGTCTATGTATCTATACAGACACATATATACAGCATATATTTATTCATGATTACATATTCATGTTTAATAATAGCACTTATTTACATGCAATATGCCTTAATATTTTCTGGTTTTTTTAAATATCAATTGCAATTTTTAAAATGATTTTATAACCCACTAACGAAAGGATCAGCAAATGTTTTATGTAAAGGGCCAGATAGTAAATACTTTTGGTTCTGTGGGCCATGTGCTTTCTGTTAGGATCACTCAATGTCTGTCCTATGGCAGGAAAGCAGCCATAGACAATGTGTAAACCAAAGGGCACTATTTTTAAAGCAAGATGTTGACACAACCTCTGCACTAATAGATTGGAGCCCATAGTAATAACTTAGTGTGTGAGAGTGTGTGTGTGTGTGTGTGTGTGTGTGTGTGTGGTAGTAGGGTGCTGGGTTTCATACCTAGGGCCTCAAACATGATAAGCATACATTATCACATTATCCCACAGTACTATTTAAATCACAGTTCAATAGTTTTCCAATGCTCAGCTAACCATTTGAGAATCATTTTGAAAGGACATTAAAATTTTTCAAGACTTACTATAAACCTATGGAATTAGAATCTCTGGGGAGGAGGTCTGGGATGCCAATATGTTCATCACTCTTTCCCCCCACTCCACACACACCCTGGTGATTCTTACATGTGGCTACATTTGGAAATCACTAATCTAACCTCCTCAATAACCCTGACCCCCATTTTATAGATAAACAGAGACCCTGAAAGGCTGCATTCTAGGTTATAAGCAATTGTCCCAAAAGTTTAAGAGCCTAGGACATACAAACTGGAGACTTTGACACAGTGCAGTTATACTAGAATTAATAACAAGAAACAACATAAAACTCACCTCTTACCATTCATTCAATGTGAATCCCTGTAGCAGTTCAGCAGAAAGTGATTAACCAATTAAAGAACAGATGCCAATCCCCTCTACACTGATAATAAGAATATTTAGCATCCTGCAGCTACTATAAAGGTTATTCAGCCAAAAAAGTTAGAATGTCTAAAAGTTCATTACTCCAAGATGACAATTTTCAACTAACAAAAAACACTAATATGTTTATATATTAACACTAATATGTTTATAGCTTAATTGTGATTCAAAGAACTATGTAATTGCGACTTGAAATCAAATTATTAAAGCATACCAGCTGATTGGAAAGTGATTAATCCTAACAAATATGTTTCATGTTTTTTGGCATAAAGCACTCTGAAAAGTATAATCCCGTCTCTGTTTTCATCAGAATAGAACTTATCTTTATACAGACTTTATATATAGATTTCAAAATGTGAACACAAAATGCATACAAATTGACACAAAAATGAAAAGTTAAAAACTGAGGTTAATGAAAATTCTTTGTAAATTTCTATGAATTTGTATATTTATATACACTTCATACCTGCATTCCTTTTTCTTTGAATGTGAAATTCATTGTGGTATTTTCATATATGTACCTAAGATAATTTGGTCAGTTTCATTCCACTGTTCCTCCCTTTTCACATCCCTCCTCTCTCCCTCAATTTCCTTCCTCAGCTCCACTTATCTCTCTTTTGTTTTGATAGAGAAAAAAATCCATACTTTGCATTCCTTTTATACCTATGCATTTATTCTTCAGTCTCTGATAACTTTATATTTTAAGTATTAATTGCATTCACTTCTTCCTTCTGTGCATTGAGTCAAAAGAAAAGCAAACCTTCCAAATTCTCCTCTGAATAGCTGGGGTTTTCCTCGTCCTTGTCTGCTTCTCCTTCTTCACTGTATTCACTACCCAT